GACTCTGCAGACAAAATGGGTTTAAACTGCTGTCTGCCTCATGTTAACGTTAGCTACACAACAACTTCTACACCAGCCACAACCCACCAGCCATCAGTAACTAGTTCTGTTAACTAGCTATAATCAGTGACAAGTCATTGCAGTTTATTCCTGTGTAACGTTATGTTATCATCTTAAATGAAACGGTGTAATTACTGGGATTACACACAAAGCCAAGCATCAACCAGCAAAGGGCTCGGTAACGGTTATCTGGGCTAACATCTCGGTCAGGCTAAGATTGCTAGCCGAGTAACGGCTAATAGTTAGCTGCCTTCAGGTTAACTAGCCTGGTTAACAGAGTTAACCGGTTACTTGTATGTCTAAAACGTCTTCTGTTGAATCGTTGCACTGGTCTGTCACGCCTGCAGGTTGGCGATTTGTGTGGCCAGTTTTACATTTAGCCGCTAGCTTGTCCAGATGCGCGTCGCTTTATGAGCGTCTGCGAACTGCCCTGTTCATTTACCACTTTCTTGCGTTATAACGCACAGTGAAAAAACTGACAACAACCCGAGCAAAATTTAGAGTTAATCTACAACAGCTATGTATTCTGGTGAATTCGGCTTACAAGTGTTTTGTAGGGAAGGCTTTATTTCAGTGTGAGCCAGTTGTTTTTCTGTTGATCAATGCTACGCTGCTTCAAATCGCTGCACTTAAGCGAGACGTTAAAGACAAGAAATATGAGGCGACGCGATTCAAAAACTTACAAGTCGTAAAGAAGGAAAGCGCCATTTGTAGCATTAGATTATGCCGAACTGAAGAGTGGACCCTGGCAACTCTTGAGTATGTGTTCAGTGTTGTTCTCCAACTAATGCCATATTGACTATGATATCATAAGTCATAAATTGCCAACTTTTTGACCGACATTTGGCGTGACGTTCTCTCAATACCAGGGCTAGCGACTGGCTAACGCTGGCAGCTAACGTTAGCGGATTCGTTCAGCAGTCACACCCTGCTTCTTTCTCTGCAACAACAAGAGCCCGTCCCTCCAACTTACCTCTTTCTTGTCCTGGAGACACTCCAACACCGCCAAGTTATTGTTCCAGGAATGTTTGGGGCAAAGCCGGGTCAGGTCCTCCCTGCACACCGCCTCCTCTGCCAACTTCCAGCCGGCAGAGCGCCTCCGAGGAAGCGAGGCCCCAGCGCCCAGGTTCCTCTCAGCGGCTCCCGGGTTCACCGCTGCCGGCCCCGGACCTCCGGCTGGGTTCGGCAGGTTATCGGCATTACCAGCAAGTCTGGCGACGGCATTGTTATCTCCTCGAAGTGGATGCACAGACGACAAGATGCACATCAAAAGCAGGGGCAGAGGAACACGTATACAGTCCGCCATCTTCACAGAGCCAGTCAGCCTGCTGCTGCATTCAGGAGCTGTCGGAAATATGGGAACTAGGAGTAAAGTTGCAGAAGGACCCCCCCCCCCCCCCCCCCCCTTTCTTTCTAGATGGCAGTGAACAGCTCATGAATAATTCACGAGTGCGTATGGGTTCATGCTCTGAGTCATCCAATCACACAACCACCATGGAAACGTGTTCTCCCGGCATTTCTTATTATTCTAAAAGCAAACAAATACATAAAAAAATACATTAACTAGTTTTTGGAAACAATGGAACTCCATGGCTCAGAGGAATAAAGTATATCAGACTCTGGATATTCATAAATTATTGATAGCAGTGTCAGATGCAAATGATGATTATTTTTATTATCAAGTATTCTGCAGATTAGGTTCTGAATTAATGTTTTACTGTATAAAATGTAAAAAAAAAAAGCTCAGAGCTCAACAAAAAACCAGAGAATATTTTGCCTTTTTGCTTGAAAAATGACTGAAACGACTCACGTCACTGATCAAAACTGTTTTGTCTAACCAACAGTACAAAAATCCTGATAGTTCAGTTTAAAATGATATAAAACAGAGAAAAGCAGAAAATCCTCACATGTGAGAAGCTAGAGTCAATGAATGTTTGACATGTACATAAGAAAATAAAAATTATTGATTTATTTTATGTTGATTAATCACTAAAGAAAAGCTCATACTATATTTATACCAGCGGTGGGGAAATGGTAGAACAAGGAAATGGTTATTTTGTTGTGGTAAAATACTTCAATGTTAACATGTGACATCCCACTGGTTTGCAGCAAAAATACATAATAAATAAACTTTTTCTATTTTAAATTGTGCTGCAAAACGTTTCCTTAAACTCATACATTTGAACAGTCAGTTTTATTTTATAGATGTGCTTCTGACCATAAATATCTGCCACTACTGGGAAAAAAAAGGTAGGAATTGACGAGCTTACCTTGAAAGCAGCATCCAGTTGGTTTGTGCATTTGATAGAAATATGTTTCTAGATTGAACCATCCCATGACGACTGATCTGTACTGAGTGTAATCAAATATCTGCTCATACACTCATTAACATTTACTTGAAAACAGAACTCATCTAAAAACAGGTCAGTTTATACAAATCCATGAGTAAAGAAGTCGTAGCACCATAGAGATTAACCATAAAATATTTATTTTTGTACACACACCAATAAAATGGAAGTGTTATTTATTCTTCTAGATGACCTTTGTTTTTTTATTTTGAATGTTTTATTGTACAAATGTATGATATACTTTTACAGTGTTTAATGATACTCAATTTAGAATTCAACTTTTTTTAAACAATTCTTATAGTTACTTTAAAATGTAAGAAAAAACTATGTATATATATGTAAATATAAAAAAGATAAAATAAAACTTTACAAAATTTCCTTATTGCCTTTAAATTAATTTCAAAATAATCTATTTATAAATGAACTATTTTTAACAACTATTATAGCTACATTAAAATGTAATACATCTCCAAGTATATGCAAAAAACTTAAAATGTTAAGAAATGTCAGTTAATGATGCTATTTCTTATATACAGTATCTTTAAATGATGAAATAATTAATTTAAAATTTATTGCATTGAAAGTTGTATGAAAGACTTTTACAGTATTTAATGATAATCAATTTAGAAACTATCTGACATTTTATAATGATTAATAATGATTAATCTGCAGACAATTTTTCTCCATTAATCAGTAATGAAAATAATTGTGAGCTGCAGCTTTGATGCTAAATTCACAAGATCTCTCACAAAAACAGTAAAAATGCGAAGGGGGTTCAAGTATCAGTCCACTCTGACAACTTTGATTAAAAATAACTAATAATTTTTATTAACTTTGACGTCGTACTCAAACAGTTGGTAGCAAATATACATATATACACAAGTTACAACAGGAAAAGTAAAAAGTTCAACAACAGCAGAGTCCTTTGGCACTTAATGTTCCGCTTCAGAGGGAGTGGAAATAAAACAAGACTGAAATCAGACAAGATGATAGAAATGAAACGAGTGTGGAGCCTCCTTCTGTTTGAGAGACGTGACCTTTTAAATCTAAACAAAATCCAACAAGCTCAGAAGGGTGGGGGGGGTGAAGTCCTGCTCGACTGTGACTCAGCTGGGATCATGTTGAAATCCGACCTCGCAAAGTCGCCTTAACTGATTTTTAAAACCAGTTCTCGAGGATCTGGAGGCGACGGATCGGTTCAGATCACAACAGGAAAACCTGAACGTCACATGACTGTTTTGAACACGAGCGATTGGTGCGAGCTTCTGGTGTTTTCAGTCAGACAGAATTTTTTTTTCCCCAAATCATAGCATCAGTTTTTATTTTCAAACCTCAGAGAATCTTAATGTTTCTCATTAACTTCCTGCTTTTTCATCTGCAAGTTTAGTTTTCATGCAAATGAACTCACACCACTGGCTGCCTGGAGAGAGAGAAATCAATTCAAAAGCTGATAGTATGAAGAGGAAAATGATCAGTGGTGATGGTCTCTTTGCTCCGTCACTTTACCTGAAGGTTTACCTGAATGGTTTTGCCTGATTTTAACCCTTTAACGAACTTGTTCTCACATCAGGACTGAACTGCTGCTCTGTAGAAATCCTGATGTTTTTTCTTTCTGTATGATATAAACATTTAATACCAGACTCTTGACACTTGCTTGATTTGTGTTTTCCATCTCAGTGAAACGTCGCAGTTTCATTACAGCTGTGAAAACAGACCAACAACCAATAACTGGATTTTCTGATACAGATCTCTTAAACCTGATCATCCAGTTGACGTTATGTGGCGAGTGGAACATTTGAGAGTGTAACGCTGAACGTCAGAGCTCTCTGGTGGACGAACTATGTAATGGAGACACTGTTTCTGATGCAGCAGTTAGAAAGATCTGTGTGGACTTGATTAAAGACAAAACATTTTGTCAAATATTTGCTGCTTCCAGCTCCTGAAATGTGACAATCTGCTCATGTTTTGTCGTTTATGATCATGAGTTAGAGACGTAAATCAGCTGAGTAACTTATAATGAAAGGAGCAGCCGGTTGCAGCCTCGACTTGATGGATTAGTCAAACAAGTTCCACGAGTCTGTTGATTCATTTCCAAACTGTACCGACGTGAAGGGACCAGCAGCTGTGGACGTGAGGAAAAAAAAACTGTACAGCCTGAAAACGACCAGCAACAAAGTGAAGTCGACATGATGTGAAGTTAAAGAGCCACGATGTGCAAACACGCACACGGGCATCTCGGTCCTTTCACTGCAGGACTGACAGTTTTCCTCCAGGAAGTTTTCACTTTAATCTAGACTGAAAACACCTGCTCTCGCCCGACAGGAAATCACCGTCTCCACCTTCGTCACTTCAGCAGGACGTCAGCCGACTGAGCGAATCAGAACCTGGTAATAATTTGACCTCAGACTCGTGTAAACCATCTCATCCTACACCTGACAGAGGCTTCGTTTTGCTTTCTGTGCAGGTCAAAGGTCACCAGTTGCGGTAATGTGGATGTTTGGTTTAAAAAAAAAAAAAAAAAAGAAGAAGAAGAAGAAACTAAAAGCTATAATGAAGGATTTGAAATGTTTCCACAGGTTGATCCCTCTGGTTTGTTTTTTTGTGTGTAAACGTACAGATAAAAGTTTAGCAGCATTTGATTTCCAGCGCAGTCGGATCCTCTCCTTGTGCTCCGACCGTGTCTGTTTTCTTCTTCTCTGGATCAAACCAGAGGCTCACTCCCACCTGTAGAGCTTCAGCATCTTCTCCGTCAGCGACGCCAGGAAGTGCTCGCCGTTCACCGAGAACGGACTGATGTCCAACACCGGCAGGTCGGCCGGGAGCTTCTGGAGCAGAGAGCCGCTGCCGGCGTCCCACACCTGAGGAAGAGGAGGAAGACAGACAAAGACAGGACAAGGAGGGAGAGAAAGAGGAGTAGAAGATGATGATGAGGAAGAGGAGACAGAGGTGGAGGAAGAGGATGTTTAGAATGTTCTTAAAATGAAAAACAGTAAAACAAACAAATAAACAAACAAAAATTAAGTAAATATAAAAAAGATTTCGGCAGCTTTGGGGAATTTAAAATGGCATAAATAAATAAACTAAAATAATCTAATTTAAATTTCATTTTTAGGAACTTTATGCTCTTTAAAATGACGATAAACAAACAGCAACAGACGACGTTGTTCATCCAAAAATGAAAAAAAAACAAAACAAAAAAAACTTCTGGTTCTTTGAATAATAAAAAATATAATATAGATATATAGATATATAAAATAAATAGAAATAAAAAAACAAATAAAAGTGAAAATAAAATAGTTTGGCATCTTTTTAAGAGCAAAATAAAACATTAAATAAAATAATTTAAATAATGATTAGGCAATTTAAAATGACAAGAAACACACAATATAAACTAAAAAAATAAAATAAAAATAAATATAAATAAAAAATAAAATAAAAGGCAACTTTATTCTCTTCAAAACACAATAAATAAACCATAAAATAAGATATAAAGGAAAGTTCTTAAAAAATGACATAATAAAATTAAATAATTTAATTTTAAGACAGTTCTGAAGCAACATTAGGTTGTTTGAATTAATCTAATTAATTTGATCTAATTCAGACACACACAGACAAACACACAGACACAAACACACAGACACAGACACACAGAGACAGACACACACACACACACACACACACACACACACACACACACACACACACACTGACCATGGTGGAGTTGGACGCCTCGTCCCCGGCACAGACCAGCGTCCCCGCTCCGTCTGGACTCCTGAAGACGGCGTTCTTGGTGAGCAGTTTGCAGGACGAGCCGGCGTTGAACGTCTGCACCGGAGCGCAGGAGCAGCTGGGCAGCTGGGCGGAGTCCTGCTGTGGCGCCCGGGTCAGAGACATCAGGACGCAGCGCAGAGACGGGTTGGAGCGACCTGCGGGGAAGAGAAGAGGACGCTTCAGACCAGCTGACCTTGTACTCGGGTGTGTGGGTCTGAGCAGCTCGGAGGGTCTGGATCTTACCCGGCCTGTACGTGACCAGACAGTGGCGGCTCTCCGTCTCCACCTGGATGTCGGTGCAGCCGGCCGTCTCCAGCGGCAGGACGTGCGGCCTGTAGTTGTCCTCGCTGACCTGCTCCCAGAAACACCCGCCCTCCAGAGACCCTGCGATCAGCCCGCCGCAGGGGAACGAGCTGGACGCCGCCCTCGGGACGTAACACAGAGACGCCACCGGACACCTGGAGACATCAGGGAGTTTCCAAAAAAGTCAATACACCTGAAAACACTGGCCTGATGTTGTAGAGTACAGGTGTGTGTGTGTGTGTGTGCGCGTGTGCGTGCATGGTGTACCTGGAGCGAAGCGGCTGCAGCTCCTGGACGTGCGTGCTGGTGTCTCTGGTGTCGTAGACGAGCACCGAGCCGTTGCTCAGGCCGGCGTAGACGTAGTTGCTGTTGTCCAAACACCAGCAGCAGCTCCACACGGGTTTACCTGCATTATAGGTCTGAACCACTGTGTTGGTCAGCAGACTGTAACACACACACACACACACACACACACACAGTCAGTCCTCCTCACTCATTCCCATCACCTGATGACAGACAGGTGTGTCACCGGCGGCTGCGGCGTGCGTACCTGGTCAGTTTGATGGTGTTGTCCAGAGCGGCGGACAGCAGCAGACTGTCGTTCTGTCTGTTGAAGGACAGACCTCGGATCTGTTTGCTGTGGATGGGGACGTAATGACTCGCCTTCATGTTCACCACACTCACCTTCTTCACCCCACAACCTGAACACAGACAGACACCTGAGTCAGAACAGAGGAGGGAAGTCTCTCTACAGGATGAGTCCAGCCGTTGTATTTTATTTCATTTGCCTTTTGAAATCTGACTGGATGCTGGAAAGAAGCCGTGAGACTAAAAATGTGGGAAAAGGTGAAATGTACGGTGGCCCTGAGAGCTCAACTCACTGCAGCTTCACAAAACACAAATTCAGAAAACATCTCCATCAGTTTGAGGTGTGATCTGTGCAGACGTCTGGCTCTGCGTCTGCAGGGTTTAGATTTATGATTAAAAAGAAATGCTTTTGGAAGGTGAAATTTGATCCGAGTTGAAATAAAATATTTGTTGCTGCTCGTTAGTTTGAGAAAATGAAGCTAAAAACAACGTCTGGCACAACAATGCACAGGCTCCCAGCCTGGTCCGTCACTTTTTGTTGTCCCCCTGGAAACACTTCTGTTGTGTTGTGAGTATCTGTGAACTGATGAAGATGTTTCCTGAATGTGTGTTTTGTCTGTTTACATGTGGTTTTATTTAAGCTGCAGCGAGTTGAGCTCTCAGGGCCACCGTAGGAAATGTCTCTCTGAGCTACCTGGATGTTTTTCAGCGCATGTTGAATTGAAACAATCGACTCGCTCAAATCGTTCTCCTGAACCCTCAGAAGCTGCTGCCTCTGGAGAAGGGACTTTTCTCTTCAGGCTCCAGCTTTCAGAAGTGGCTCTAAATACACGTTTTGGCCTGAAGGTGGTGCTAAAGGAAAACTTATGCTAATGAAGCGGAGTGAAAGAAGACTCACCGGGGACCAGTGTGGGCTGAGGGGAAGGCTGTGAGGCCAGCAGACAGCTGAGAGGCTCGCAGTACGATAACACCCTGCAGCCTCCGGCCTGAGACACCAACACCGCCTTGGCGAAGCTGTACTGAGCCGTCCTGGAGCCGTCGGCCCTCTGAGACAAACCGAGGAGGGAGGCGGACCCCGAGAAAGAGGAGGAGGACGAGGAGGAGGAGGAGGGAGCCGAGCCTCTACGAGCCTGAGCCATCAGAGCCCTCAGCTCCTGCACAACCAGGGAGAGAAGAGGAGGATTTTAAGCTCAGGACGTCCTTAAAGCTACGGAGTCCAGAACGTGTCAGGTGTTCAGCAGTTCGTTCCAATCAGTTGATTAATTAATGCATTTCAAAATAAATCCCCCGAGATGGAACATGACAAGAAGAAATGATGGTAAACTCAACGGCAGAAAGTTTTCTGCTAGTTCTTTTAAAAAGGCAATAATTTGTTCAGAATGAATAAATATTTTTAATATATTCATTATGTGTAATTGTAATCTTTTTTTTTTTAACCCTCAGTTATTGTATTTTAAATGCACGAAGTGATTACAATGTGCTTTGACAAACGAATCAGAAGCAACGATAGACGACATCACATGAAAGAAAGCTCGTAAAAATGAGTTTTAAGAGGTGATTTAAAGGAAGTCTTATAAAACATCTAAATATGTAAGAGAAAAGAGAATATTGTTCAAATCAAAATTTGAACTAATGATTTGAATAACAACTAGAAACTGAAAATAATCCAAACTCGAATCCCTGTTAAACCTCATCACAGTTAAAGGAAACCGTCGATACCTGCAGCTCTTGTTCCACTTGTCCACATTTGTTGGCGACGACCTGCAGCTTGAGTTTGTACTGAGCTGATTCCAGTTCAGCCTTCCTCCTCAGAGACTGCTCCTGCTCCAGAGACCTACACACACACACACACACACACACACACACACACACACACACACACACACACACACACACACACACACACACAGCAGGTATAAGCAGGGTATTTAAACGCGGGTAAACCTGCTGAGAAAGGCGATTGGCTCCTGAGAGGACACACTCAAGTGCAGGCACCAGCAGCGTCATCACATGCACACAGACACGGGGGAGAAAGAGTGAGCTGCTCGCCGCCGTGCTGACTGGTCAAACTGATCTGTAGCGTCTCCTCTGACTTTTCTTTCAACAGCGATAATTCCTTGTCATCTTATTCCATCACAGCAGTCGGACCTCTCCAGATCTGATGAGTTGGCAGAGGAAGCATCACTCACCTCTTTAAGCTCTCCTGCTCAGAGTTGTCCAGCGCTCTCAGCTTTGGCGCGTACAGCAGCACGATGTCTGAGCGCTTCGCTTTCTTGTTACACTAAAAGAGAAATAATGAAAACCATCAGGCTGGTACAGGGCTGATACCGCTGCCTGCTACATACAGTGACCTCACTGACCTGTGGACATTTAGCGGCCGGGCCCTGAGCTTTCAGCCAGCGCTGGATGCAGGTGAAGCCGAAGAGGTGTCCGCAGCGCAGGGCGGACAGTCTGTGTTCGCCGGCTGTCGTCCACGACTCGAAGCAGATGGTGCAGGTGTCGCCTTCGCCCTCCTCACTCTGAGACGGCTGGGTGGAGGCCGAGGCTGCCGGGACCAACTGCGGACGGAGATGACGGCGGTTAAATCCACACTGATGCTCAACGACTCAGAGCACATGCAACTACTGAAACTACAGGTTCAACATGAGGACACCTACAACTCAACAGTGAAGCAAGAGTAGAAACAAGTTCAACTGCCCTGCAACATGTTCCAGAGTTTTACCTTTACCTCATTATTAGTTCTCCACACAATTAAAAAGAGACTATTTTCCATTTAAAGCAATGAATGGAGCTGGAGCGTGGAGTGAAGTTTGAAGGTTTGAATGTTACCTGGACGCTCTGATGTTGAGCTTCTGTCCTCTCGTTGTCTGCAGCTGCACCAGAGTCTGAAGAGAGAAAACACCACAGTACAACATGAAATACACACGAGCTCAGCTGCAGCTTCATTATAAAACCTGTATTAGACGATGCCAGCAGCATTGTAAAGATCGAGTTTACTCACTGGCTGAACCGGCATCCTGTGGTTGTGTGTGATGGGTGGAGGCATTGAGGTGAGGACTGGCGGGCGGGGCGGGGTCGATGGGCAGCACAGCGGCAGATGTGCCTCCTTCGTTCCCTTCGTCCTCTGCCTCGTCTTCCTCGTCGGACTCGCTGACCTCCGTGGTGCTGCCGGACTCCGGCTCCACCACGCTCGCAGCCGGCGCTCGGAGCAGGAAGTCTGGGAAGCCTCTGGAAGGCGCAGCAGTCTGGCTGGGGTAGTGCACCCTGAGGCCCTGCCTGAAGCACCGCACACACACACACACACACACGACAAATATTATTATCATATTATAATATTATAACCATATATTACATATATTTAGCACTGACTTCATCATATCACATGTCATCACATTTCAAGTCAGCAAACAGCTGCTTGGATCAGTCTAGTGTTCCCTCTCTCTTAGCTCTGTGTTTGGTCTCCACCAGCTCCTGAGGGAAACATCTGGCTCTTTAGCTGCTAAATGCTGCAGCGTGTTCAGCAGCTGCTCTCTGACTGAGTGCGTCTGCTGTTTGCTGCTGAGCAGGTAGAGGACAGAGGCTTGTTACAGCTGTTTCTCTGAAAACAGCAGGTCAGAGTGAGGAGGAGATCGATCGTCTTGGGGAACGTGAAGTCTTTGGGAAATAAGACACCAAGCGGGAAGAAGAAAGGTGGAGAGGGATGGAAGTTTCTGTGAATGAAGGATGGTGCAATCCCAGACATGTAACTGTGGAGGAGCCTCTGCTGCCTGGACATTGCACTTAAAACCACTGCTATGCCTCCACAACGGGACTTCTCCTCCACCATATTGATCAGTATTTAATTCCACCATCAGCTGATGAGGCAGCGACATGTGACTGCAATACGATACACACCACTGTTGCTAAGCTACAGTCTCAACTTCCCGCCCCCTTTGTGACCGTCACTCTGGATTTTAACCATGTTGATCTGGACTCTACTCTCCCCACTTTGCACCAGTCTGTTAACTGCACCACACGGGAAAATAGAGCACATGACCATTTGTATGCAAATGCTAAAGATGCATTAAGTGCCACTGCCCCGCCCCCACAGTGATCTCCAACTGTACCTTCCCACACTTGACCAGTCTTCACACCTTTTGAGATACCAAAACATCCCCTGACCCCCCCTGTGGACTGTGACCACCAGCCGTTACCCAGCTCTCTGTTATCCTGCAGTCACTCTTCAAGTCTGAGGCAGGACAGGATGCCAGTACTGTGGAGAACTTCCTGCAAAACAAGCCTTCTTTGTGGATTAATTCCGGGTACCTGAGTCTCCTCCGTATGGGCGCCCCTTGAGCTGCTGATGGCGTAGCTGCAGTCCTGCCCACCGCCCTCTGACTAAATGCCCAGGTTGCGGGGAGCCTGGGAGGGGTCCGAGCCGCCGCCTGTCCTCCTTCATTGTCGCCGTCATCATCGTCCTCGTCCACCTCGGTGCTGCTGGCGGAATCTGAGATGACGAGTGGTGCGCCGGCGTCCCCGGCCCGACCTGCAGCAGCAGACTCGGGCTGCCCGCTGCCTCCTCCTCGGATCTCCATAGGGGAGTCTACCTCCATGGCCTCCATCTGTACAGTGGGAAACAACAGAGGTTAGATTGTTAGTCTCTGCTCTGACAGCACATCACATCAGCAAGGCTGTTGGTTAAATTCCCATCTTGTTCTGTAAAGGCGTGAATGGCTTTAGCCTTGCACCATCCTTCATTAGTGGCCCCTCTACCACAATATGTTCCCATTCATAACTTGAGATCCTCAGAAGCGGCTTTGCCTGCTTCCTTCCTCAAAACTTGTTATCTGAGGTGACCACACATTTGGAGGCAGGGCTTTGGATGATAAACACATTTCAGCTAGTTCTGTAACTGCCTTTAAAAACTTTATTTTTATATATGAACAAATAAATAATAATAAATAAATATTTTTTTGTGTGTTTTCATGGAGGTATTTGATTTGGCATTACTGTTTGTATGCTGCAATATTTATTCAACACCTTTATTTGCAGTATTATTAAACGTTTCTTGACATGGTGACCTGTGGCCTGTGAAATGTGGTATGTAAGTAAAGATTATTATTACAGTTTTTAACCACTGCTTGGTTGATCCTGATCTGCACAATCTGCACCACAACCAGACAGGGGGCAGACCAAAAGTCTGCTTTTGGGTTCAATGAGGTCACTATCAAATAATTCAGGTAGCACTTTAAGGTATTATGATCTATGATCACCTGAAGCTCCAGGATCCTCCACTGCAAAGCAGAGCTGGGACTAATTTAGCCCGGGTTAACTCTGTTCACTAGACAGTGAGGATGCACTTACATATACAAAGATAATTCCCAAATCCTCAACAGATAACCAGCTTGTCGCCTGCTCACAGCGCTGTTGAGTAGTATACCTTCACAGGTGTTCTCACAGTGGAGACACCCACCTGGCTGCACAAAGTTAACAGTTACACAACCGGCAAGTTATGCTAACCAGTTAGCTAATGTTGCCACGATCTGACTGAAGCGTCCAACATGTAACCTTTAAAATATATTGATCTACCTCTTATCTGTGATGCTAAATATCTCCCGGTGTGTCCCCCGGGGCCAGGTGGTGCGTTCTCCGGCTAAACACCGAACTACAGCCCGAGGTCACCGAGGCCTCCGGGCAATAAAAGCTAACAGTAGCTCTTTTTACTCAGTTCAAACTTTAGTCCTATTAATTTTTTGATATAGCTCATCAACATATACGCATTGTTACAGAAAGACATAAGGAAATAATTATATTTTTATCCTCTGCTTTTATCTCCTAGTAACCATGGGCGGTTGAGCTAAAATTAGCATTAGCATTTGAGAGGTTGTGACAGACGATTATTAGCTTATATTGAGATATCATTGAGGTGAGCACATTCATATCCGCTGCTCTTACAAACTGTCGTGTTGTTACTACAAATAAGCTTTAGAAATGAGTCAGCTCGGCTAGCTCGTTAGCGAACCGACGTGGCTGCGCTCTGCTCGGGGTGCACAGTAGCAGCAGCGCGGTCAGGAGCAAACACCGACCTGTATGGAAGGTTTAACAGTCGCTGATCCCGCTCTGAAACACCGCAGCAGGTAACAACATGGCTCCGCGGCAAAGTGACAGATCAAACCGGTCGTGCTGTGGGGGTTTTAGGGGTTACTTCCAGTTCACACGGCGGTGTTATTTAACTCGAGACCGCGGTCAGGGCTCGAATCTCCCGGCGCCAGTGCACTCTGCCCGCCCCATCCTGCAGTGACGCCACAGCCAAAGATCGTATGTTGCGAAGATGAACGACACTCTCATTGTTTCATAAACACTGCTACTACGAATACTAGGCTTCTTCTTCTTCTGATGTGATGTGATGTGATGTTTCCCCCCCCCCAAATGTTTTATTATTCAAATCATTTTCCATTTCATCTTATTACAAAATTAAACATTGAAAATGGAGGAAACAATCATAACTTCTGAAATAAGATACAAAGTAAAATATGAACAATACATGCAAATAAAATAAATACATTAGAAGGAAATAAGGATGATGAAACAAAAATAGTTAAAAAAAAAATAATTTCATAAGGACAAAAGGAGAAAACCAATCTATATACATAAGGATACCATGAAACAAAACAAAGATATTAAAGGAAAAATATTTAAGGCTTTACAGGTTTCTACAGTTTGTATTGTATTGAATCAATAGTGTCCAATTCTTATTTTGAATTGTAGTATTTGTTGTAGTATTTTCCATATAAAATAAAGAGATTCACAATAAATCGTTTTTGCCGATGTGATGTGCTGTATGTGATGCTTAATTTTTCATCACATAGTTGGCAGTTTATTAGGAACACCTAACTAAAACTAATGTAATCTAATACAACAATCCTACAATAAATCCTCCTCCATGAAGGTTATAATGTTCAGTTTATATTGAGATTCTTTTTAGAGACGTATTGATTTAGCTGTATGATCACTTTGGAGGCTGCAGTTTGTGGTGCTGTTGAATTATGCAGTGTTGCATTATACAGAGAAGTGTTTCTGTTAATTAGCCTCTCTCATTGATAATAAATGGGGTGGACAAAATAATAGAAGCAACCGTTAGAAGTATTAGGGCCGCATTGAGGAAAAAAAGAAATCGGAAATTTCTAGAATAAAGTGATGATATGATGAGAAAAAAGTCGTGATTTTGCGATAAAAGTAATATTATGTATACAGGTTAACCCTTCTGCTCCTCTGATATTTCCCCTCTAAAACACCTAACCTAAAATTACCACTTTATTCCCATAATATTATGACTTTTTTCAGGAAATTCAGGTTGTTTATTTCCTCAATGTGGTCCTAGTACTCTCTCGTAATAATAAATCATCTGCCAAAGAACAAAACCTAGCCTGCATACTCACACTAGAATTAAAAAAAATGGAAGATGTGGAAAAGGAAAACTACAGATCATGAAAAGTGATGAGATAAGTAACATCATGAGCAAAATGACCTTCATTTTCAGGGTGTAGTGAGAGGAGAAGGAGGCTGGGAACAGAAACTGGAAGAAATAAAAAGATCCACAATTCATGGCAACTTGGGTTAAAATACGAAATTTTATTGAAAATAAGAATACAACTCCCCCTCTGTGGTTTCTCTTTTCATCAGTTTGAGTGAAGAAGACTGAATTCTTATTGAAACCAGTCATGCTGCATGAAACACTGCTTTTGTTCACAGACTCAATGGTCAAAGCTAAAGGCTAAATTACATGAAACACAAGGATGGAATTTTGTAACAGCATGAAAACGTAACGTTTGTCACCACTAGGTGGAGACATTTTCAGTTTGATGCGATGGAGTTACAGCAGTCTCCAGAGCTGGTGTTAAAATCTCCTGAGAAACAGTTTGGTGCATGTGTGAGATTTATATACGGCTCATTTACAAAGACAGGATTTATAAGGTAGTGAAGGCCTGCTGTCCTGTGGTTGATAAATGCTATAAAATACAGCTGCTCTGTTGAAATCACAGCATTTTCTTGGTATATATGGCTTCTCCAAAGTTCCCTGAAATTACTACCAGCTCCAAAGGAATCCAAGTTCTAACAGGTTAAAATACATTCACTTAAAAAAACATTTTCAGTTACAGCTGTTGAAACAACACACCACAACTGTAAAAAGATGCAGGAGAAGGAATCCAGCAGCTTACACCAGAGTCACATTAAGTCTTTTAGTGCCTTGTAAACCTTTTTTTGGTGATTTATACAAAGTGATATATTGAACTATTAAACTATGAATGTTTATTAACTATTATTACCACTACTAACTATCTATATATCTATATATCTATCTATCTATCTATCTATCTATCTATCTATCTATCTATCTATCTATCTATCTATCTATCTATAGATTGGTTTTATGACTTAACAATTTTGTTTCCTCTCAACCTTCAGAAATCCTGAATACTTGTGATGAACTGGCAGAGGTTGAAGACTTTTATTGCTTCTTTAACTGTGCCACCAGGACCTGCAGTTCATCCACCAGCACTGTAGAAGAGAAAGATCACCATGATGTTAGTAGGCTATTATTATTTTAGATGATTTCTAACAGTTTTTAGAATTGGGGGTTTTACATTATGCTACTTTCAGGTCAATCAGTGAGTGAAACCTGCTGATGTGTAAATGTAAAGACAGCAGTGACTGCTTTACCTCCAGCAGAGGGTCTGTGGAAGCCGTCGTACTCCCGGCAGTCGTCGATCAGCTTGCGCAGTGCTTCAGGACAGTCAAGACAGTCGTCAGGAAACGGTTCGCAAGATCTCTCTTTGCACACTTTCTGTTCGATTTGTTCAATTGAACAAACTGGAGAAAGAGACAAGGAAACATCATCAACGCATTTAAGTGAAATGTTCTATATTAATGTTTTATTCTGCAGGATAATCCTGGGACCTTTAATGGTCGATTAGCTATAGTCAAGTTAACGTGTTAAACTGTCCTTGACTCAGCTTCTACTGTTCTGAGATCAGTTATGATAGCGCACACATTACACGCATGCGTAGACGTATGCGGAAACTAAACTTGCGCATTAAGCGTCAAGAGGAAAAATTAGCAAGTAAACGAGCAAATGACTTCAGCAATATCACGCAGCCGTGCTGATATTCAGTACGTCACAATCTCCAGTGTGATTTTGCTTTTATACAACAGTTCTACGGGCGCCATATTTAACAGTAATAAGCAACAGATTATGATTTGTTTGTTTATTTCATAATTTTTTGGCTACGCCAACAATAGTTCTGCAACTGGACTGGCACTGAACTGTTGCTAAGCAACGCTTTCCCGACCTGCACAGTGCACACTAGCTTGCTGCCTTGGCTACACATTACCTCAGGTGTGCACTTAAGCAAAGATCCTCTTAAGCATTCAGGCTTCTTTCCTTCTCTCCATCCTCTTCTGACGAGCATACATCATTTAATTCAAATGTTATTTCTGGGAATATTTTCATTTTTACAAAGTTTGTTACAATCTATGATGGATAACGACCGTTAATGTAACGCTAATTAACGGTTAATAGAGCCTTGCCTCTGCCTTGTGACTGGACAGTGTCCTTGTCAGTTAATGGTAAATATTTTTTAATAGATTGATTTTTAGATATTTTTTCCTCCATACTGCTTGTTTGATATGTTTGCTGTCAGCACATGAGAGTAATCCTGATGCTTCTTCGGACAGGAAGGAGAAAGGTGAAGATGTCCAGGCAGAGAGCGGCAGGATGGAGGAGAGAGACTTTGGCTTTATTTTGACGGCTGTTGTGCAGATACTCACATTGAAAAGGGATCTTACGAGTTACAATTTCCCACAAGACGATACCAAAGCTGAAAGACAACATTTGTAGGTGAGGTTGGTTTCTTTGCTTAATTATAAAATTCATTATTGAAGCTCTATGAATTCAACTGTCATGCAGTGGCTACACTGAGCAGCTGTCTGTATTAACACATTTACTTATAAGTCAACAATTATAAAGTGTTCTATTCATGGTTTATAAATCATGTACTAAGACATTATATAAACCATAAATAAGAATAGATTTTTTAGCTCCTTTATTCATCAGAAACCAGATACCTTCTGGAAAACAGCTGCAGAGCATCAGGACCAAAACTGATTTAGCAGCAGCAACTTATTAGTATGTGATGCAGACTTTGACCTAATTGACTTCTTAGCATTTATAACCCTTGGGAGGAAGTTATGTCCCTCTATTGATGATTTATTAACACACAGAACTGCCAACCTGATGAGTTTTTACAAAGTGAACAAAAACGATGAGCATTTATTAATATAAATTTCTTATTATCAAATAGAAATTATAAACACCAGCCAAAGGGATTTCTCACCGCAAAGCATATTGCACTGTGACATCCGGCAACTGTTAACTGTCATGGCCTTAATTGCAGAAAAATGGCAACAGCAACATTTTAAATGTGGTGATTCTCATGTTTCCTGCTTATTTTTACAGTTTAGATATTTGACATAAATGTAAGTAAAGTAAACGTTGCCTCACTTTTTCATGTGGTAAAATGTCAATAAAATGTACAATTAAAAAATAGAAACAAATCCCATCCCTAAGACTGCCGCTTAGAGAACCACTGTTATATTTTGTTATATTTAGTGTTTCATTTATACTATATAATTCACATCATTTTAAAAATCATATTCTGTAGGTGTTGTGCAGCCGTATAGATTGATCCCTGGGTGGTATCTGACCTGTATATCTCACACTTGTCGCTGTACTCGTAGTTGATGTCGTTGAGCTTCTGAGGAGATTCGTAGCACGAGGACCTGCTCTCGACAATTTTCGACCTTTTCAATGACGTCTCTGTTTTGGCCAGCTCAAAACCTCCAAGCTGTCAAATACAAACAAAAATAACACCGTATAAGACTTAATACATTGTCCTCAACCCCCTGAATACCACCATTCAATTGGCTGGAGGCAATCCCAGCATGCACTGACTTCAGTACCTTGACCCTGAAGTTCTCAGCCACCAGGAACTTGCTGCTGGTGATGCATCCATGAACCCTACTTCTTTCTCCAGTGTGATGTAGTCTGAGACAAAACAGAGATACTCATTAGTGAATAAATTATAGGCTTCATCTGTAGTTCTGGATATCATAGTAACTCTGCCATCTAGTGGCAAAAACGATTAAGTTACAGTTTATACTGATCCATCTTAAAGGTCCATATAATATATACAGGTCTAGGTTCTATATTAATACTGTGAAAGTGTTAAAGAGTTCAGTCCACAGAGAAATGCATGTCCGTTTTATTTGGCCATTGTTAGCGAGCTTTTTTAATCTCAGCTGCACCAATAAGACTTTCACTCCCTCCTCTCTGTGCTATATCATTCCTTGCACATTTAAATTTGACATATCGTTAATTAGTATAGACTGACTGGTAGAGTCCTAGTGCTGCGTCCAGACACATTTGAGCTTTCCTGGCCCAGGACAGTTCAACGTTAGAGTCCAGAACCTGTCGGAGACTTCCCAGCTCACAGTACTCCGTGACAACGAGGAACTGAGGGTTGGGTCCTACAGGCAATCACAAGGACACATTGCATTATTTATTATTGTAGCGGTGCTACGTGGCTGATATTCTGTGATTCACATCCTCACTACTACTCACCGTCTTCATCCCGGACAGAGATGCCATACATTCGCAGGATGTTGGGCGACTGAAACTGTTTCATGGTTTTAACCTCCCTCTCGAAAAAAGCACGTATCTCCCTGAAAACAGAGACATGTGACGTGTCAGTTTGAGCCTAAAGCTTCGAAAATCAGATAAAAAATCAAAACTTTATACAGGTACGACACTGGTGTTATTCTCTAATCAGGTTTTCCTGTATTTTGCTTCGTTATCGTCCTGCAGTGTCGCACAGACCTTGGGCTTTTGTTCACAGGCTCCGTGTATCTCTTGATGGCCACTTCGAATCCATGATACTTTCCCTTGTAGACCTCTGAGGTTGCTGTCTTCATGATGGGCTTTCTCTCGTACTGCAGATCGCTTTGTTTGATCATTCGGTTGTCTTCAGCCTTGCGGGGCGTATTCACTGTGAAAATACACAATTTATTGTTCAGGTGGAAAAGACAACTCCTGAATTATCTACGGACAAACTTTGTCATTGTGCAATAATTTTATCAGTTTTATATGAGTTTCCCTCAACTCAGAGTTAACTAAGGGCGTTTTCAAAACCTATATAAATACATTTATCTAAAAATACCAGTGGATTAAATGTCATTGTGATTAGTTATTGTCCTATTAGCATGCCAGCTACAACTGCTGCAGCTTGTAGTGCAATATTGATGCAGAAGCTTGTGTTTTGGTGCACTCACTTATCTCTATGAGCTTCTCCACGTCGCTTTTGATGGCGTCCAGTTTCTCTTGCTGTTCCCTCATGTTCTCCAGGAGCACTGAGGAACAGACAAAAACAACTGATGACACAAAGAGAAACAGACTCTGAATCCTAGTTGTATTTCTTCCGCTCTATGTGTGCAAATCAAAACGAGTCTAAATCGGTTTTGCTCACAGTCCTTCAGCTCTGCGTCGTCCTCTGTCCCGGCATCCTCATCGTCCTTCTTTTTGGAGACCTCTACATACACCATGTACAGCGCATTCCCATGCTCCAATTGCAGAGCTCCAGACAGCAGCTGGAAGGTCTCATTGAGGCGCTCATTGACAATGACGAACTCCTCTTTGTGGCTGCTGGATTTCAGGATGAGCTTCACCCAGTTAGAGGAGGCGTACTTATCTATGATTGTTTGTGCTGATTTCAGAACGCTGTTGAGTTCCTTGAGGGCTTTTTCTACGTCATCAGAGACTTGGACTGTCCCTCTCTGTTGGATGGACCTCACCAGCTGCTCCAGGGATTTGACTCGGCCAAAAACACGTTGGCAGCTCTTCTTATTGGCCTTCACAGTCTCAATCAGTGTGTAGATCTCTGAGACAATGGTCAGGATGGGCTCCACGTAGTCCATGATCAGCTGGAAAGACAGAGAAGAAATGAACTTAAAGCAGTGAAATGAAATAAGTCAGAGCTGATTGCAAAATAACTCCAGCGAAGGACAGTTATCTGAGCTGAAATAACCTGAATTATACTGAGCAAGTCTGACTCACCTAAGGAAGCTGAGGCTGGCTGTGGTTACTAAACTAAAGCACCAAATGTGGATTAATCCAGGCCTGAAAATAGTCCCAGACAAATAGCACTATTTCTCCCAGTTTGAGTACCTGTTTAAGTAAACTACGGAGCATTTAAAAAAGAAAAAGAAAACCATATATTTGTGATCATTTACATCTTCAGTAGGAACCAGGCTTGGAGCTGAGAGTCACCAACAGAGGAGGGAAATCAGAAATCATGGAGAGACAAATTAACACTTCGTTCCACAAAGTTAACCACGTTAACACCCGCACCGGACAGGATGAATATGTTTTAAGAAAAGGGAGGTTGGTTTCAGAGTTAAAGCATAAAATCGGTGAATATGATAAATTATTTGGAATTATGTGAGTGCACAAAAACATAGCTACAAGTGAGTTGGCAAATACACATTAATATCCTGAATGCGACACACACGCCTGGGCATGAATTTAAGTGATTTTTATTTGCACTCAGATGAACTGAGCTGATGTTATTTAAAGTTATGTGCAGAGATAATTTCCCGCGGGAGTGTTGCTCCAAATTCAATCGGGGAGGTCTGTAATGCTGAGCTAAGCCTTCAGGTCAGCAAACAGATTCATGTTTACAGCAAAACTCACAGTCCATCACCCCGAAGCTGGGAGTGTCACAGAGAGACAGGTCTCTCTGGTTCCTTAAGAACAAAACGTAAGAAAGAAAATTCACTGTTCAGCAGTTATTGAAAGTTTTCTGACGCGACAGTTTTACTGATTTACAGCAAGGAGGAATTGAGAGGTTCAGTGTTACCGTGTGCTCCCTGGTAAACACTCTGTCAGGTCTGTGGACAAATCTGGATTTGTTACTTGCCTCGCCTCTTAAAGCCTGAAGATGAAAAGCTTCTCAAGAGCTGAATTCTAATATGTGGCCTTCTGCAAATCTGCACTTTGCAGATTTGTGCCTTCGACACATGGACATCTACCTTTAGACTATACGGGACCTTTAAAACTATAGTTACTAACTACTTTTCAGAGTAAGTTGTGCACAAAATAGATGATATATGAAACTGATCTCTTATAAAATACAACACAATGTTAAAGATTAAATCAGTCTTTCCTCTTACAAAAAAGAGACAGACAGAGCCAGAGACACTTTCTTCCTATTCAGTTGTTTTTAAAAGATAAGAGGAAGTTTTTCTTCTTCCTTCCTCCATCATCCCATCATCTCTGTCAGAAACAACTTGACTAAACCAGCTCCACTGTAAAAAAAAAAATGTATTATTCACACGCATCATTTCCCTGCATAACCAGCACTTTCACTGTCACGTTAGTACATTTTTCTGATAATACTCCTGCACTTTAACCTGAGTAGGATTTTGAATGCAGGACTTTTACTCATCATTTTCATATGAATGAATGGATTAGTATTTTTAAAAAGGAGAACTTCTTCCACTGCTTGTTTTATTACAAATCCTTTGGCTTTAAAGTTGTTACAGACCAACAAGTGAATCACTGTGTTCTGAGGTGAAACAAGCTGCTCAGCGAAAGCGTGCTTGGAATACAAAGTGGTGTTCTGTAAAAACCCCGATCTATAACTCTTACACATTTCCATTTAAAGCTACACTACGTAAAGTGTGAATTGAGTTCTTGTTTGTCTGCAGATCCTGAACTTGACAGAGACTGTACAGATTTGTTCCAAAGGAAAATACTTGTACTTTTGGTCATGTGAGTGGATGAACTCCTCCCAAAACCCAGAGCTGAAGGATCTTCTCCTCAGCAGTGAAATTCATTTTGGAAACTACTTTCCTCCGTGTCGCTTTCACCAGGATTCACCCAGTGAAACTCAGACCTGAGGGGGGGACGCTGTGTGAAATGTTCCTCTCTGCTATATGAGTAGCGAACTATACGATATAACTTTGCTGTAAAGCATCAGCTGTAGAGAAATGACTTGCCGTGCTCCTAATCTAAATGCTGAATCTGCAGCGGACCAACCAGAGGACTCATGAAGAGCTATCAGCAGAGTTAATCATAAACAAAATGATAATTTACCTGTAAGTGGAAGTCAGTAAGAGCTGCCGGTCTCGACGGACGTGTATTCTGTGTGAGTGCTGAGCGAAGAAGAGAAAAAGCAGTGTAGCTGTGTAGACTTCAGCTCCTCCCTCCGCTGCTCAGACTTCCTGTTTCTGCTAGGAACTTATATTCCATCCCCCCTCTGGGTTGTTATTGCTCCTCTGTGCTGACACACCCAAGATTTATTTTACTTTTCCTTTCCACAGAAGTGTTGTAACTTACTGCACGGTGACCGGGGGTGGGGGGGTGGGGGGGCTCTAGAGGCGTCCTGACTCGCTCTTTTATTGATGATCTGTCAGGCTCGCTGGTTTCATGTGAAACTCCCAGGGTCAAGGGTGCAGTAGTGAGGGTGATAGGAAAATTGTCAAACAAACTCAGGAACACTGTCTGAAATTCACAAGAGTAGGATATTTATTCTTGCAGCAAGGGAACAAGTTACACACAAAGAGCTTGCAGTGCAAATGTTCAAAGAGTACAAGGTTCACACAGGATTTATGTACAGAGCATATGGGGGGGTGAACTCACATCGTAACTGATGTGAGTTATGCACCCGGCAGAGATAGATACATGTTTATCATAAGAAACATGTGGGCATAGCAGCTTGGAGGAACTCTGTTCCTCTCTGATATTTCCCATATGGTTTCATGTTCACTTCAGGACACATACAGTTCATTTTAGCATAACAATGTTTATCTAGTTATAAAGTATCATCATTTTTCCAACAGAGGGCAAGGCAAATTTATTTGTACAGCGGATTATCATACACAGAGATCATTCTATGTGACACAGCATATGCACAGGGACCAAACTTTCCCTGCTGTACACAACTCACTGGAAAGAAGTAACTTTGGTAACAAGATGTGAAGCCAAACAGGTAACGCTTTAGATTACAGGCTGCAGCATACATAGATTCAGTGATTCAATATTAATATTGAAGTCTAGCAACAATTTACTTTCACCTTTATGTTTCATATTTGTTTTTTTGTTTTTTTTTCCAGCAGGGCGACAAGACAGCTGTGAACAAAATCTGCTTCGTCTCAGCTGGGAAGACACTCACCTGACCTCAGTGAATTATGTGACTTTATTGAAGTGTAATTTGATAAATGGTTACAATAAACCAATAAAGATATAAACAAACTGTATTTTGTTCCAATGATCAGTAACAGTTAGATTATCTAACTGTGTAGCTGTGTAACCACAGGTCAACCTTCAGAGTTCCTGTAGGTCTACAGAGACCTGCAGACAGAGACCTGCAGACAGAGACCTGCAGACAGAGACCTGCAGGCAGAGACCTGCAGACAGAGACCTGCAGACAGAGACCTGCAGGCAGAGACCTGCAGACAGAGACCTGCAGACAGAGACCTGCAGAGACCTGCAGACAGAGACCTGCAGACAGAGACCTGCAGACAGAGACCTGCAGGCAGAGACCTGCAGGCAGAGACCTGCAGACAGAGACCTGCAGACAGAGACCTGCAGACAGAGACCTGCAGACAGAGACCTGCAGACAGAGACCTGCAGAGACCTGCAGACAGAGACCTGCAGGCAGAGACCTGCAGGCAGAGACCTGCAGACAGAGACCTGCAGAGACCTGTGAGGGTCTCTGGAGCCTAAATGAGGTTGACCCTGTTCGTGTCCGATGGGTGTGGACGTAAGGAGTCTAATTATCTTGGGTCTAAATCTGTAATGTGTCTGACCAGAGAACACGAGTGACGCCACAGCAGAGAGGGATGATAACCTATCAGCTGACCTACATTGGAGGATATAAATGAAAGTTTAGCTTTCTCCCACGTATACCTGGATTACTACTTGTACTTATTACTGCTTGCATGGTATCCACTTTACGGTAAGTTACCATTTCCTCTTGATAAATTATTTAACCTTTTAATTAGAATGAGGCTCAATGTTACGACCAATAGCAGCTTCTACCTGTCGTCTATGATTGGCAGCCAGGGAAATCTGCTAAATCCATTTCTACAGTGACATTTTTGTGCCGTTTACAGTTTGCTGTTCTTACATATTTATTGATACCTCGCAGTTTAAGAATCCCATAATGTCATATTGACTGATACTAATATCTAGCAGCTACCTGCCTCGAGAATTGTGACCAAGCTGCATATTAAAGACATTTTACCATTTTACAGTTTAAAATCAACTTCTATAGTGCCAAATCATAAACGTTATCTCAAGGCACTTTACACGGTAAGGTCAAGACCTTACGATGTTATAGAGAGAACCCCAATAGTTCCCACAATGAGCAAGCGCTTGACGTCAATGGAGGATCTGGATCCTGCTGCTCCAGAAAAGAGAGAGCGAAGAGAAGAGAAGCACGGACGAGGGGAGAGGGAAAATACAAAGTTAATGATATGAAGTATAATATAAATGCAGAGAGCGAGAGAGAGCTCAATGCATCATGGTCTAGTGGACAAACTGTGTCAAACTATGTATTAAAGACACTGTTTCTAAATTTGTCAGGGTCAAGTTCTAGTAGCTCGTACCACTGGAGAAACTGGGAAAAACCCCTAAACCTTATTTTGCCTGCATCTGGACTGGTGCACTGAAAACAAACCTTTCAGTCTGTCTGGAAAGTTGCACCAGAAGGAAGTTCACATTGCCTCATAAATTGAAAGGTTTTATCTTCAGCATGGTGGCTAGCTGTTAATCCAGTCATATTTGTAGTTTTTATTATTCCTGGCTTTATGTTGTCGCTCTTAAGTCTTCTACTCACTGCAACTTAAGAAAACACACACAAATAGACAAAATACAAACAAATTCAGAAAATATCTTCATGGATTTGACAACACACGTGCTGCAAATACTGACAACACAAAGGAAGTGTTTCCAGGGGAAACTAAAGAGTGATGCATCAGGCTGGGACGCACTTGTTCAATGCTTTGTGACTTTTTGAAGTTAAAAGCATTGAACAGCAAGTATTAACATACACTTCCTGTCGTGTTGTGAGTATTTGCAGCATGTGTGTTGAATGTGTTTTCTTAAGTGTATATTTATTAATTGAAAACAACATTATATTAGAAAAGATTTCAAAGAAGCAGAATATTAGATTTGTCTTTCCTGTTGTAGCTCTTACAGTTCGGTATGGTTCACTTAAAGCCTCAAACTCAGTTTACACGATGAGTCCAGGGGACCTTATCTCAGCTCAACACGATGCTCCGATCATATTCACCAGAACAATCAATGTAACTTGCCTCAGCCAGAATCGTAGTTGCCATTCATGCCTGATCAATATCAGTACATTTTTCGTTCTAAGCTAACCGACTTCCTGTCTCGCCAGCTGACCATGGAGGTCTTCAAATCCTTCACGGTCGTCTACAACCTGTTTGACAGGATGAAGAACAATGATCAGCAATGTCCCCACATCCTGCAGAGACTGAGAGCCCTGGAGAAACTACTGGTTTTCATCCAACATAAAATGCCGGAGCGACTCTCTGACGACATGAAGGATGCTCTGGAGAAACTCGACCAGGCCGTGTTATCGGCCACCGAGCTGATCAGAAAATTCATGGATGCACACAAGCTGCATCACGCCATGAAAGCAGGCGACTACAAACTAGAGTTCGAGAACCTGAACAAAAGTCTGACCGACACCTTTGTGACTCTGTCCGTGGCTCTGCACATCCAGCAGGAGCAGAGGATGGATGAGCAGGAGAAGAAGCTGGACGAGCAGGAGTTAAAGCTGGTGAGGCAGGAGAGGAGGATGGCTGAGCAGGAGAACAAAATGGCCGAGCAGGAAGACATACTGCAAAGAGTGGAGTCAAAAATCGCCTATGAAAGTAGAGCTTACTACTGTGTTCTGCAATGAAGACGAGCTTAGTAAATGTTTAACATCAGTCCAGACATGCCTCATTGTTTACTCATAATATGTATGTAAACATCCAAATAATACTTTTATAATAATATCCTAAAATCATCACTTGTTATGTTTCATGTGTACGTCTCAGCATATTTTACTTTTCTGGCTCTTGATAACGAGGTATGACTACTTCATAAATACTGTAATCTGCTTTACTGTTCATAATAAATTAATAAATGTTGATGTTGGTTTAATTAATAATTCTGTCAACAAAATGATTCAAAATAATCAGCTGCAATAAATATATTAATAAACGTGATTTCATAACTTTGGATTATCCAGTAAAATTTGGTCTGATATGTAAAATTGCCACTTTAAAATATGATGATTTGAATCTGAATTTTAAAGATCTATATAGTGTAAAGGTCTGTGTCCATGTGTAGTGTGATTATAGATCAGCTCTAGCTTCTATATTAATACTGTGAAAGTATCAAAGCCTCAGTCCACAGAGAAATGCACACAGCCTGTATTCAGAAACTGAGCCTTAAAACCAGCCGTCAGGACTTCTGGAACTTTGTGATGTCACAACAAAGCAGTCACCAAGCCCCGCCCACCTGGACCCACCATCCAAACCTTGCAGGATTTGGTTTCTGTGTTTGTGTTTTTAACTGAAATCTGCTATATTTTTATTGGATCACTCAGAAAACAGTCAGCCAATCAGAAGAGAGGATCAGAGCCTCCTCTCTTCTGATTGGCTCACAGACCTGTTGTTACTACAGCTGCAGAGAGAAGCCTGAGAGAGGAGATGTAAAACTACACTGAGATGGTTTTTGGTTCTTAAAACAACAAATATATCTTATGGATCAACACTTCAAATAAAACACAGAAGAAGAAGAACATATGGAGCTTTAATTTAATTCATTCCTTTTTCACACACTGGTTAGTTCATTAATGAAAACATGATGTCATCACTAGTTAACGGGTTAACAGGCGTGTCTCCTGAGAAACAACAACACAACACTAGAGAAAGTCCCGGTCCCACCTTCCTTCCGTCTTTATCCTCACACGTCACAGAAATACTTTCAAAACACTTAGTTTAGAGCCAGTTTCTCTTGTTTTAACGTAAAAACGAACTGATAAAACCTCCTACAGATGCATTTTGTTGTGAAACAGTCATGAGGCGAACAGGGGTGATGAGCTGCATGGGGGCCGTGGTGGGGGAGGTAGGGACGGAGTACATTGTAGCGGGGACATGCTGGGAGACAACGGCGGTGGAGAGAGGGAGCTGGGTCACGGCTGTAGTCGTGGTCATGGGGTTGTACATTTGCACGGGGGACATGATGGAGCGCACAGGCATGGCAGCTGCACGGACAAATACTGCAGGGTGATACACTGGTGTCGGGTGACACATAGGAGGCGTGGGGTTAGACATAGGCATGGTGAGTGGCAACGGGGCTGTAGGCGTCGGGGGATACATCGGGGCTGTAGGCGTGGGGGAATACATCGGGGCTGTAGGCGTGGGGGGAGGCATCTGGGCTGTAGGCGTCAGGGGAGGCATCTGGGCTGCAGGCGTTGGGGGATACATCTGGGCTGTAGGCGTTGGGGGATACATCTGGGCTGTAGGCGTGGGGGGAGGCATCTGGGCTGTAGGCGTGGGGGGATACATCGGGGCTGTAGGCGTGGGGGGATACATCGGGGCTGTAGGTGTGGGGGGAGGCATCGAGGCTGTGGGGCTGGTAAGAGGTCGCTCTTCATCCGGTCTCGCCACACATTCGTAGACTTTCTGCAGCATGTTCCCCTGCTCGACCTGCAGCGCTCCGAACAGGGCCTGGAAGTTATCGTTGAGTCTGTCGTTCACCCTGCTGAACTTGTCCTCGTGGTTGCTGGCCTTCAGGAAGCTCTTAAAACTCGTAGTTTGGGAGAATGTCATTATCAGCTCTTGGGCACTATGCAGAGTGACAATAAGTTCCTTCAGAGCCTGGTGCACAGGGGCCGAGATTTGGCCCGGCCCCCTTTGTTTGATGGTCAGGACCAGTGCCTCCAGGTCTTTGACCCTCTTGCCGACTCGCTGGCAGCGCTCCTTGTTGGACTTTATGTTCTCAACCCTCTTGTAGATTGCGTGGCAAAGAGTCAAGATCCATTCCACGTTGTCCATGATGAACTGTGGAGACGGAGAGGCAGTTAGCGAGGACTGAAACGTAATGAACTGAGCTGAACTTCAAAGCCGACTTAAACAGATTTAACTGATCTGAACTGAAGGGTACGGAAGCCAAGAAAGGCCGCAAACATTTCTCTTATATTTACAGGAAGATCTGAGCCGATCAGGACCCATTCAGGCAAATTTAAATGGATCGGTATCTGCTCAAATAAAGTATGTCTGAGCAGAACTTCAGTCGGGTTTTGGTCATACTCTAGACTTTTAACAGTTCTCTCCTGCTGCTGAATCGCAGCTCTGAAACAGTCGGTTTTCACAATCAAGGCTGGAACTGTATGAATCTGTGCAGCAGTTGAGTTTGTCTCTGTGTTTACGCCACGCCAAGACAAACAGCATCCAAATAAAACACCTGCGTGAAGGTTAGTGGGCGGGGCTTCTGTGAAATCTTACAGTAAACCAAACCCACACTCATGAAAACGTTCCGCATGTTTCTGATAGAGAGTCAGCGCAGGTAATTTATTCCACTGCAGTTTCATTAACCCTTTATAAACTGTTTCACTTTTACATTTCTGTCTTCCCCTAAATACGTTTATACTAATCAGAGCACATCATACTCACATCATACAACTTGTGCTGACTTCTACCAACATCGGCCTGGAACCGCTGGCTGAAATTTCTGTTAAGATTGCAGAGTCTATAGCATGAATCACGGCTGTCCACTGAAACACATGTGTTTTTAAATTTTCAGACAAGCTAAGGAATGAAAAGATGTTTCTCTCCCTCCACTTCATCTCAACGAGTAAACGCTGTCCGTGACAATTTGGTACGAAGAAGACGGAGACTTTAACGAGACCCTGTTGATTTCAGCCTGCTGAAACTTCACGTTAGCTTCACTGTTGTCGTGGGCACTGGACTGTTGTGTCAAGACAGACTTGACAAACTTTGAATCTGCCCTTTAACTATTCATTTATGATTTCAGAAAATCTTTCTCTTCTTAAGCAAAATACATTTTTGATTATCTGAAAAATGATTTTAAGATTTCATATCGGAGTTATAAAGGAGTTTGGTTGGAGATGATTTTAAAAAAGATTTACCTGTGGATGTTGACAGTCTGTGAATCCAGGAGCAGCGAGTGAGAAAAGTGACAAAAATGAAAATAAATAAGTCTTTCAGCACCAGCGTCTCTTCCCTGCTCATGCCAGGTGCTTTAATGTGAAACATCTGTGGCATGTATGATGCTTTGGCACAGACACAGCAACAGATACTCATTCACACGATGAACCTGATTTTCATGTTGAGGGCCTGTATGAGAGCTGGAGTACCCACAGGTGCCAGGTAATGTGAAGAAACCACGTGAGTCACGTGACTCAAAAGGTCATCCACTCAGGATACAGACCGAAGTGGGTCAGATGTGCCTGGACTGTGATGGAGGGTGAGGTCAAAGTCAATCTGGATATAAAAGACTTTCAGGCTCCATCAAGTGCTGCTGCTGTGGACTGAGAACCAGGTCTACACTCCACGAAACAAACACCCATGGACGGATTACGAGACATGTAAAGACCACCACCCTACACAGACTGAAAGAGACTCGAAATGAGTCTTTGTGGTTGTTTTGTGTCTCTTTGTTGTTGTTTTGTGTCTCTGTGGTTGTTTTGTGTCTCTTTGTAGTTGTTTTGTCTTCTTGTGGTTGTTTTGTGTCTCTTTGTTGTTGTTGTTTTGTGTCTTAATGTGATCGTTTTGTGTCTCTTTGTTGTAGTTTTGTCTCTTTGTTGTAGTTTTGTGTCTCTTTGTATTTGTTTTGTCTTCTTGTGGTTGTTTTGTGTCTCTATTTTGTTTTTGTTTTGTCTCTTTATAGTTGTTTTGCAGCAGCAGAAGCTCTGGACCTGGACGTTCCTGTGTTAAAAGGTGTGACAGTCAGATGCCAGAGGAAGGAGGTGTCCAATCCAGTCCTCACGCTCTCTTTCCTTAAAGGAGCTTTTTGTTCTGTTATGGCTGCGTAGCCAACACTGGCATTAAGAGCTGTTCATCACCAGTCCAATAGAAACGTTGTAAGTTCAGCATCAAACCTCATTCATTTACTCGCCAACAGCTTTTTCCACTGTTGACTCTCGAGCTGCTCAGAGGGCGTATCATAACCTCTTGGCTAAAGCTAGTGGAAAGTAAACAGCTGCTAAAGCTAACACTGGACAAGCAGCTCCTTTGAGCTGCAAAATCTCATCGTCGCTTTAATTAAACCAACTCATCTTTTATCATTAAATCAAGTTTTAAAACTTATTAAAATGAGTTCAGGTCTGGTAACTTAACCGTACCGTAAAGATAGATTGTTAGCTAATTAATATACCTCACAGTATGCAGTGTTGAAGGTGCCCTGTCCTATGGTTCTGTTTATATCCAGTGTTGAGTGTCCTCTCCATTATGAGGTCTAACAAATTTCTTACTTACATAAAGAATTTGTCTGAATTCAGTTTACATCTATTTGCAGTCTTCTTCTTCACTGCCTTTGTTGGCACATTGCTCTGTTTCTGGTGGGTCCAGGTGGGCGGGGCTTGGTGACTGCTTTGTTGTGACATCACAAAGTTCCAGAAGTCCTGACGGCTGGTTTTAAGGCTCAGTTTCTGAATACAGGCTGTGTGCATTTCTCTGTGGACTGAGGCTTTGATACTTTCACAGTATTAATATAGAAGCTGGACCTGATCTATAATCACACTACACATGGACACAGACCTTTACACTGGAGGAGACCTTTATTAAAATATTGCAGATAATGTGCAAGATCTTTTTTCTTTTCCAAATTTCTTTTCAATAAATATCCAATTAGAGAAAATAGTAAATCATGATGGAGGTCCAGACGTGTGCAGGTTCTGCTCTCAGCATCTCGGCCGACTGGCGTCCGTGTGGAAGAGTCTCTTGAGGACGCGGAGCTGCAGGTATCCTGACAGGAGGATGACGAGGCTTTGGGTCGCCGACCACCAGTTGACGTAGTTGAAGTTGGACAGGAGGAGGTGGTGATCCTTCCCTTTACTCATGCGGGCGAAGTTGTAGTGACGCCACATGTGGAAGATCTGATTCTGGAGCTTCTGTACGCTCTCCTAAACCAAACACAGCACATCGACTAGTTTAATGTTTTTTAAGGTTTAAGCGGTTACTCAAGGTTTTTGAAGAGTTTAGTTTAGTTGTTGTTTGCATCGTCACCGAACTTTTGTAAAACTGTGAAAACTTCAACCATACAGTTGGATTATAAATATTTTATCTTTATTTCTGACATGCTGCCGTAATCTAACCGTTATTTAACTTGGTTTTATATATCAGTCACAGAGGACATTTTACTGCGGGAGAACTTTTATTTTTGATATCTTAAGTAGATTTTATGCTTCTGTACTTTTACTTAAGTGAAGGATTTGTGTACTTCTTCCACCTCAGGATCTCTGAACCATTTCTGCTTTGAGGCATTTCATACAGTTAAAATGGCGACATCTGCTGGACGACTCTTGGTACTTGCTCTTTAATGGCTGTAGAGACTGTGTATGTCTTTAAATCTATATTTATTTTATTTGGAAAGACAAATACCTCAATACCAGTCAAGGTGCTGTTGAGGACTGTCTCCCCCTCCTCCGTCTCCCCCTCCGACTCCTCCAATCCTTCGTAGATGACCCCAAAGTTCAGAAAGACCCTGATTCCTCCAAACTGGTTCTTGTGGTTCCCGAGACACATCCGGTAGAAACCTGAGAGGAGGAAGCTGCAGTTACAGTGTGAACACAGTGGGACGGACGGCGGAGCCCGAAGCGTTTCTGATGATCCCACCTGTCTCCTCGGTCTGGAAATTCATTTGACCGACGGCTTCAGTGACGGACGCCATGAGGGCGCCGTTTGGTGAACTGACCGTCACAAACAGCCGGCGATTGTTGGCCATCCCCGTCACCCACTGCACCTGTGATCACAGACACACGTTAAATATAAGACGATTAAAAACACACTCACATGACAAAGTTGGTGATAATCTGTATCTGTTTCTTACTGTGGACAAAACTAAAACCAACAATGAACGTCTCCTACGTATTTTTCCGACATAGATCGACCCAGAAGTTCCCATCACCCTGGTTCCCGCCACAACAAGCTGTGAAAGTCTGAAAAGTCTAAGTCTGAACATTATTGAAAAGGACAGAAGATCAACTTAAAAACGCTACGTCATGATCGAACTGTAACTGTGGAGCTGTGTTTCTGCACTTCAAATTATCAACGATCAAATCAGGTTTAATCCATATAATGAAAACAAGGACCGGTTGCACAAAACACCTTAACTTTTCTACTTAAGTCTGACACTTAAAGTTTAATTTCTCCTTAGCTGAGGGAGCTAGTTAAGGGTGTTGCACAGAATCTCTAAAAAAGGTTCCCATAGTAATTTACAGAGGTGAAAGAGATTTTACAGCAGTAAAACGTTACTGTTTCCACGGAGACCATCGATTTACTGTGATAGGCCAACCTGTTATCACTTCTGGGAGTCGGGTCACATTAAAGAAAAGCCGTCGTGTTGACGGGAACTTCACCACGGTGAACTTTCCTGGTCGCTAAGGGCGTCTGTGACTTTAAGTTATTCTTGAAGTTTAAGTGTGAGATAAGGAGAAACCCTTAAATACTATAGTGAACATTTTAAGGAAACTTAGGAGAAAACTGTTTTGTGCAACTGTTTTTATTTTAAGGAAACTGTAACTCAGACTTAAAGGACAATCTTAACTTCAGGTGTTTTGTGCAGGTCTGATTTTTTAATTGATAACACACATTTATAAACTCCTATCTGGTAACCCAGGGAAACGCTCACATGAGTAGAAGTCAAACTGGTTCACCTTGAAAGTCAGTGAAGACGAAACACACGACTGCACAGACTCCAGCTGTGCGTTCATCTTGCATGATCACAAAACACACTTATCTTTTATCTATTCTCACCATGAACGTCAGGTAGAAGCTTCCGCTCTGGTGAGCAAAGTGCCAGAAACACTCCATCCCTGCGGCGGGAACCTCCACGGCGAAGTCATACTTGTCCGACCCCCTGAACAAACCGGCGTCGCCCTCGCCCAGGGAGGGTTCAGACTTTCTGGCCCAGACGCTCCGAGAGCTCAGAGCTACGACCAGCAGAGCGTTCAGCAGCATGAGTCCAGTCCTGGAGCCGAGGAGCTGCCGCTTCCTCCCGCTCGCTCTCAGATATCAGCCGGAGGAGAATGATTAACCACCACGACCGACTCTCCGTGACATTTGATAACATATCAGTGTAATGGGACCAAAATCATGCTTTGTATTTGGATACTGGAATTCCCGTCTCGAGGTCGTATCCCTCCGCCACTCGGACTAGTTCCAGGTCACATCCCTGTTTATCCAGAAAAATATAAAATATGAACCACGTGTGTGAAATTGTGTGAAATCTTGAGTAATGGCTAAAGGTATTTTGTGAGGTCACACTGACCTCGACCTTTGACCTTTGACCACCAAAATCTAATCAGTTCATCCCTGAGTCCAAGTGAACGCGTGTGCGTAATATGAAGAGGTTCCTTCAAGGCGTTATTGAGATATCGTGTCCACGAGAACGTGACGGACAGACAGACAACCTGGAAGCAAAATGGCCGCCGCTCTGACTGTCGGTGGCGCATATATTTGTGAGATGTTTTTAAAGATTTACATCTTCAGTAGGAACCAATGAGCTGAGCGACAGAGGAGGGAGGACAGGAAGTGCTGAGACACAGACAGATTTATTAACAAAAAGAAAATATTGTTTGATATATCCATTGTTTACATATTCTATGTATATATATATATCACCTTTCTAAATTGTTTCTTCCAGCGAATGAAAAACAGCATTTATAAGCAGAATATAAACAAGCAATTACAACTTCTCCTATGAAGAATTATATGATAATATTTCAGCTGTTTTACTATATTATCATTTATTATCTGCTTATACAGCAGACTCCAGTTCCAGCTGTTAAGGAGATTTAAGGCGGGATTTCAGGTCAGCAGGTGACAAAAGAAATGTTGTTTTACAGTATAAACCCAATTTATTGATAGAATTTCTTATGAAATAAGTGTAAGTATAAGATTACGAAAAAGCTACGTGTGAAACTACATTCGGGTTCATCACCATTAGCAACAGAAACATGAAGGTTTAAAGCCACAAAAAGAGTGAAACAGAGTCACGTAAATCAGGTCGAGATCGGCTGTATGTTTTTTCAAATACAGGTGGATACAGATGTTGCCCAGGTGTGATCTGTGGGCACAAGACCCTCACTTTTTTCATCCAGCATCATCATGACACTGTGTCGCCATGTCGGTCTCTATATTAGCTTGAAAACCTCATGTTATGGTCATTTCTCCTTTAGAGAATCAAGCTGTGTACGTCACCCGCAAAAGAAAAGAATAAAAGTTACGTGATGAAGGTTCTTGTTCACCGCACGCTCTTCTTCCATCAGTGGTACGATACCGAAGTTTATCAATCTTCTCTGCAAGAGAGTTGGTAAGCGCGTTTTCCAAATGTAAGTGGATCAAATTAGCTTTGGAGGAGGAATATGACCAGACGACGAAGGTCCAACACACGGTACCTGCTCAAATCACTGAGTGAAAAAGAAACCCTCCGAGTAATACATGTTGTCGAAAACAGCGGCGGTGGGCTGAGGCATGGGGGCCGCTGCTGGAGCCACAAAAAGTGGGGGTGGTTGAAGTAAGGTTGAAGGGCCGGCCGCCGCAGCAGAATAAGGGACAGAGGCCATGGCGCTGACCCCCTGCAGGACGTGGTAGGTGTCAATCAGACCTTCAATCGCACTGTTGAACTCACTCATGCACTTCAACTGGTTCACAATTTTGCTCGTGACGCATTTCTTGACCAGCTCGTGGGCCGCGGTCAGAGTCACGTGGAGTTTCCAGAGCGCATCGTTCACGTTTTGGGGGATCTGGCCCGGCCCTGTTTGTTTGATTCGCTGAACCAGCTCTTCCAGGGCTTTGACCCTCTCTGCGAGGCGGCGACAGCGTTTCTTATTGACCTTCGCCTCAGAAGCCATCCAGAAGATGCCCCTGCATAAGCCCAAGATGCTTCCAATGTGATCCATGACGAGCTGAGAAGGAAAACAGAGAGGAAGTTGACTTAAAGGGGCTGTTAACCTGCAGTACGGCTGCAGTGAAGAGTTGGAACAGCATATACATATAGTGCTGTGTCCAGGATATCTTGTCTGTCAAGGCCAGAGCTGATAATGAAACTACATTCAGCTGTTATATCAAACAGCCATTTAAAGCACTTTCCTAGCGGTACAGAAGTGGGCGGGGTTTCCTCAACACTTCCCAACACTGACTATCAGACGGCGCCATTTACATTCCACAGAAAAGGGCCAAGTGAGGTGAGGTGTGGTTTCTCAGAGACATTCTTTCTTTCTACCGTCCGTCTTTACTGTAAAGTTTATTATTGTCCTTTTAAAACTTATTCAAACTTCACTGCACTTTTTTTTTGAGTAAAAGAAACTATATTTTTGTGTGAGGACTTTATTAATGAAAACTAAAATTAAAAATTAAAATTATGCATCAATGCATTAACACACTGATGACATTGAAGTATAAAATTAGGTTTTATAAAGGAAGACGATGATGTATCTCCCATAACCCTTCACCCTCGAGTCCACACACGGAAGTTTTTAAACCTTTGAACAATAAACACTATTGTTCAAAGCAAAAAGCAGGATTCAAGACAAACAAGACGACACGTTCAGACGGACAGCAGCTTGGTGACAGTGCAGCGAGGCGCCGGCACACAGCACGGACACACGGAAACATGAAACAAACTCAATAAAAACAAACTATAAAGTTTGAGTCAACAGGCATCAAACTGAAAAAAACCTTAAAAGTTAAAATAATTCAACCCTCAAAAATATAATCAAGAATATTCCAGCAATATATTTGGCAAGAACAACATAAATGCTTCTAATTCTATTCCTGCTCTTCTTTAGAGAGACAGTCTTAATTCTACTACAATACCATGATAATACATGACATGATTACACAGTGTTTCTCTAAATGGTCTGAAGGTTTACCTGAAGGAGGGGGGGGATGTCGGTGTCCTGTCGGATGCAGCTGCACAGGCTGAAGAAAGAGAATCCGCTGCTGTGCTGCTTTTAGACGCCTCCACCTGTTTCCCTCCCACCTGTGGCATCTTTAATGCACCGTCACCGTCACAGCGCCTCCATCCGTTTTCAATACCTGTTTCAGCAGATCGTAGATTACTTTGGGATGTCTGGTCTTTATGAGCCTGTATGTGACAGACTGTGGTGTATGAGTAGAGTTTAAGCTCCTCCAGTGTAAAGGTCTGTGTCCATGTGTAGTGTGATTATAGATCAGCTCTAGCTTCTATATTAATACTGTGAAAGTATCAAAGAAATGATCTGAAATGATTGTTGTGGTCCATATAACCTAAAGGCGAATGCTGATCAATCGAACACTTGATTGACCGAACATTATTGGCAATAATTTGATTATTGATTCTTCTCAAATGTGAATATTTGCTGGTTCTCAACATTTTGGGGTTGTTGACTGTTTCTCAGATAAAACAAGACATTTGAATATGTTGGTCTTCAGGGAATTGTGATGGGCATTTTATACTATTAACAATCAATCAGTCAGATGTATTGACAGTGAAAATAATAATAATCTCCTCTGATTGAATAATACAACTGTTCTTGAGTGTTAATTACTTGATACATAGAAAATAAATGTGAGTAATTAAACAAAACACAACTTGAACATTTTAAGAGACTAAACTCAAGTATTGGTAATTTTCAAAACTAAAGTTAAAACTAATGAAACCCAAAAATTATACATATATAAACCCAAACTAAATAAAAGTTATAAAACAATAAAACATGGAAAAACCAGACGATTAATACTTTTATATGACGTCAAACTTCTCTTCTGTGATGGGAAAAGTACGAGAAACGTTGCAGAAACCAAAGGTTGCATTCTGCTGTCACTGCTTGGTGTTGTTGACTCTCGGAGTCACACGTGACACATCGCTGCAGATACGCAGTCGAACAAAACTATTCACTGTGCTCCAGTTTGGTCACAGATATACAGGAAAACAGATATCAGACAAACCAGTCAGGTACGTCACAGTCAGGCAGGTGTGAACGACAGACTGTAAAACATGGAGACACATTACAAGAGAACCACAGTGTTACTCCAGAGCACGTCCAATAAGTCAAAAGAAAAACAATCTTAGGGAAGTATTTCTTTACTTCTCCACTATATTGCATGTTTTAAATTGCAAATTAAGTTATATAACAACTTAATAATTAATTATTATTTTACATACAAAGCATTTGACAAGCTTTTAAAATATAATGCTTTGTTGTAGATTAAACTGTCCAATAATATATACTATTAAAGCTGATATGATTCCTTGATGATTTAAAAATTATAACGTATAATTAAATAATTTTTCATGTAAATATTTCCCAGTTCCAGCACCTTAAATGTAAGGATTTGCTGCATTTTCCTTGTAATTATTTTGATAATCTTAGTTTATTATTTCTGCTTTTGTTTGTCCAACCTACAGGAGAAGATGGTGAACATGATAAACATCAGCATTTACTTTAGGACTGCTGCTAAGAGTCGCAAACAAACTATGGACCTCAACTTTAAAACATCTTACAGTTTGTTTTTCTTTACAAAGAGCGTTGCAGTCTCACTCTGTGGAAGGACAACAGGAATATTAATAAAATATTTCGTATGGAGAGGCCAAATAAAGTGAAGCTAAAGGATGAAGCAAATCTAAGCATGGAAACAGAAATGACAATGGGAAAGGAAATAGCTTTTTAAATATCTGATGAAAGTCTGATGTCTCAATTCTATTTGTGAATTTAGTTTTAATTTGAAATATTTATCAATATTTCATTTGTAAATTATTTTTATAATTCCTGTTTTTATTGACCATTAAAACATGAAATAATTAAATACTTTATAATTTAATCTATTTATTTATAGATTAATAAATTATTTTGTAAACAAATTTATTAATGCCTATTTTTATTGTACAATAACTTATTAATTGATGAAATGCTTTATTACTATTGATATTACACAGCAAAAGCCATTGACTTCCACTATATTGTGACAATAATAATCAACATTAACTTGCTTCAGTGGTCTGAGGAAAACATCACAAACTGTTCACATGATCGTCTAATAGCAAAGTTTAATTATATCGTGTGAAGAAGTAAGAGGACACAAATACAATACCAGAAAGAAAAATGGCCACCACAGCATCACAGTGTCGTTTGAGGCTCCAGGGCCACCGTACACACACACAGATGACAGAATGATGTTTTTGGGGGGATTTAGCCGTTTGGCCGTCGGCTTCGTTCTGGTCTGTTTCTGCTGGACTAAACATCCGGACTCTGACCCGCCCTGAGTCCGTCAGCACCGAGGCCTCTCGTCCTCGGTGCCGGTCTTACTGACGAAGAGTCTTTTGAGGAAGAAGAGCTGCAGATACCCGGAGGTGACGATGAGGAGGCTGAGGGCCGTCGACCACCACGTGACGTACTGCGAGTTGGACTGAAGCAGGAAGTAGTCGGCGCTCCTCCTCATGCGGCCGAAGTTGTAGTAGCGGAACATGTGGAACACGTAGTTCTCCACTTTGTGAGTCGCGTCCTGCAGCATGGAGGACGAAGAATGACATACGTATAAATAAATAAATGAATAAATAATGTAGAAATACAAAAGAATACATAAATAAATTTGAAATGCATAAATAAATAAATAAAAATAATAATAAATGAATAAATAAATAAATTTAGAAACACATAAATAAATAAATGAAGAAATACCAATAAATATATACATTTTGAAATGCATGAATAAATAAATAATAATGATAAACGAATAAATAAATAAATGAAGAAATACAAATAAATACATAAATAAATATTTAAATGCATAAATAATACATGAATAAATAAATAAATAAATGTAAAAATAAAGAAGATTTCAAGGGTAATACTTGAAGGGAGGTGTATAATGAAATACATAAACTTAAAGCACATCATATTGTAAACACTTCTGGAAAGCTTTTAAATTCAGAAAATCTTCATTTTCACAGTTTTTATGTTTTTTGTGAATGTTTCTCCCTTTTTTCTAATAAATAAGAGTAAAAAATTAAATAATAAAATGTTTTTTAATGGAGTTTTTCCTCAGCTGAATCTAAAGGTTTGTATGTTATTGCAGATATATCTGACTAATAAATAACAAAACGTTTCATTACAGAAACAGAAAATATTAGGATTCATTGAGAAACTCTACAAGTTTATCTTTTACCTCTATGATGTTCAGTGTGTTGTTCAGGTCTTTGCTCACTTCCTCTTTCTTCTTCTTCTGCTCATCTTTGCTGGTGGCGGGGTCTTGGTAGCCGTCGTAGTAAACGCCAAAGCTGAGGGAGACCTGCATGGTGCCGAAGTGGTTGTGGAAGTTGCTGAAACACATCTGGTAGAAACCTGGAGGGACACGCGTGTGAGAGTGAGAATATACTGAGATGACACTCACTGCTGACCCCTGTGGTGAAACTGGGTCACTGCGGCAACAAATTATTATGGGGTGTGAAAAAAAAAAACAGTATTTATTGATTAAAAAAACGTAATAGAGATATTAAAGGGTAATATCACCACACAACAGGAAGTGTTTCCAGGGGACATTAAAAAGTGACGAACCTGGCAGTGCACATGGGTGTAGGCTATTATAAAACATCCACCACGTCAGGTTCATCACTTTTTTGTGTCCCCTGGAAACACTTCCTTTGTTTGCACGTGTTTTCTTAAGTTATTTTTAAAAAAGTCAAGTACAAGTGAAAGTCAAATATATAATCGGACATATTGTTAAGTCTGAAAGTTTTTTACGTCATTAAGCTCCTTTTAAATCAACAGTTTTTAGCTTTTATCTTTTTGTTTGTAAGGTTTTATTGTGACAGACAGACAGACAGACAGACAGACAGACAGACACCTGTTTCCTCAGCCTCAAAGTTGATCTGACCCGTCGCGTCGTCGACAGTCGACACCAACAGACTGCTGGGAGCGTTGACGGTGACAGACAGGTGTCTGTCATGGCCGACTCCCGTCACCCACTGCACCTACAGACAGAAAACACAACACACATGTAGAGCAGAGAGAGAGAGTTAAATACACTTTCATGTACTGGAGACTTTTAAAATGTCCAGTTTGTACGTCCGCAGCAAGGTACAGTATCTGATAGAGAAAACAGTCGGCCAATCAGAAGAGAGGAAGCTCTGAGCCTCTCTTCTGATTGGCTGACTGTTTTCTGAGTGATCCAATAAAAATAAAGCAGATTTCAGGTAAAAACACTCAGAGAAACCAAATCCTGCAAGGTTTGGATGGTGGGTCCAGGTGGGCGGGGCTTGGTGACTGCTTTGTTGTGACATCACAAAGTTCCAGAAGTCCTGACGGCTGGTTTTAAGGCTCAGTTTCTGAATACAGGCTGTGTGCATTTCTCTGTGGACTGAGGCTTTGATACTTTCACAGTATTAATATAGAAGCTAGAGCTGATCTATAATCACACTACACATGGACAGAGACCTTTAAACATGAATAATAACTTACCACATGTTAATATATATAATGTATTACATATAAAAACTGCTGAAAAAATAACTTATATGTGAAGGTAAGGGGCCTGAAAACTTATTTTCTATACGAACATGAATTTTGTCTGAACAGTTTGAATTATTTCTTATGAGAGATTTTCTGAGTGAAAGTGAGAAACACTTTGTAATGGATATTTACTGTTAAGAGTGTGATACTTTTTCTAAACGACGTTTTCAGGGGCTTTGAAATGAACAGTAAACATAGAGAAGTCTGCTGGCGCTGTAGAGAGAAACGTGTGGCGGCCTCAGCGCTTCATCTTACCATGAAGCTCAGGTAGAACCTCTCTCCGCGGTGAGCAAAGTGCCAGAAACACTCCAACCCAGAAGCAGGAAGCACCACAGAGAAGTCGTACTGGTCGGCGCCCCAGAACAGCTGCTGGTCCGTGATGCTGGGGTGGGGGTTCGTCAGGGGCCCGCCATGAACCGGACCCCAAAAAACAAGAGCAAGAAACAAGCAGAGAATCCTGGACGACATGTCTGATGAGAATGAAAGGTGTGAGGAGTGTGTGTGAGTGTGTGTGTGGAGAGATCAGAAATGATTAACTGGGAGCTGTCAGTGGGAAAACTGGGCGGCCTTCACAGGTGGAGTCAGCGCTGATAGAGAGGAATACCTGTCCACGCTTCAGAGGGACTGAAGACAGACATTACTGTGGTACTTTTTGTGTCTGTGGATCTTTAATGTGATATTTTCCTGTGCTCCTTATGTGGCACTAGACTTGTGTAGTATTTTGTAACATTTACTGCAAGATTAAAGAGCAGGAACACAGATTCTGTGGTGTATATACGTCCCCTAAACGCCTCACGGAAAGACTATCGGTAGATGCTATAATTCACAGATGTCTCCTTAACGCCTCACATGCAGACTAATGGAAGACACTACAATTTTAATGTCCCTTAAACGCCTCACATATTATCTGTAGACGCTACAGCTTACAGGTGTCCCCTGAACGCCTCACATGCAGACTTTCAGTAGTCACTATCAGTGATTTAACTTGTTACCAGAGGAATATCGTCTGATCAAATCAATGTAATTTTCTTTTAAATGCCACTGATAAAAAAGATAATTAGCCTAAATCATAATTAAAATCACAGGTTTATTGTGGGTTATTTGGGTGTGAATTAAATAAGGCACATTCACATCATCTTTTAAACATCCAAACAGGAAATAAAAACAGGTACAAAAATAATTAAAACTTGACTTCTGAGCGGGTTTGACATCGTTTCTTGAATGAGCCACAAAGACGCAGCAGACAGGAGGAGGGAGACATTAATGTGAACAGTAACACTGATGGTGACGGTTATACAGTACTGCATTCTCACTTCATTATGGTGCATTATACTCGTCTTAATAAAGTTATAGATCTACTGATGTTAAAGGACCAATCCGCTGCTTTTACATGTTTTATTTCACTCATTAACATGTTTTCAGATACATGTGTTTATAGATTAATGTACCTACATCCGTGACTGGTGTTATAGTATGTTAACTGTTTAATAACAGTCTGTTGAGGTTAATCGTGTTTGTGCGGCATTAACATGACGTTACTATCACGGCACATTTCCGCATCAAACTGGTAAAAAATTATGATATTAAATTATCACGTTCGTTTTTTTAATCTCATTTAAAGGCATAAAACCTTCAATCAGACCCTTTTAAAGGTTCATATAGTGTAAAGGTAGATGTCCATGTGTTATAAACCAGGTCTAGGTTCTATATTAATACTGTGAAAGTCAGTAGCAATGTAAAATAATTTTGAATAAATGAATTAAAAACATGCAGAACCAGCTGTTTGGTCTTTTAACTTGAACCATGTCTGAAGAAAACACATTCTAACGTTCAGGAGAAGCTGAATCTCTCTGAACACACAACACTCAACCATCAACAAGGGTCATAAATAAAATAAAATCGTCCTATTAAAACAGTAAGAGGAGTAAAATGATGTTAAACGGCAAACCAGTCAAACTGTAAATCCACTTTAAACTGTGAAATCAAGCTAACGTCGAGTTTTCAAGTCAAAACTAAACAAAACGTGTTCTTCAAATGAAGTCTGGTGCTCGGAGCTGAGCTACAGTCTAGTGGCGTAAAGTAAAACATTCGAACAGCATGTAACTAAAATCAGGTCGGTCTGCATCCCTTTTTCTTTTTGTGAGGGCTAGAAGAAGAAAGTGCTTCAAACTCAGGGGGGAGGGGGAGGAAGAGGAGGAGCTGCTGAGAAATCCTGACGTCTGTGAACGTCACCACCGACATGTGAGCTGCCAAAGTCACAATGAAACTCTAATTCAGCAGAATGTGTTAAATCAGTACGCTGAGGAAACGATCGTTAAACCCGATTCGTTTGGAAGATTTCCGGCCTGTTTGTTTTCAGATGATCCGGACAGAGTTTTCTCTCTGTGTCTCAAGTGTTTTTACATTTGTTTTGTACTAAAAGAAACAACGTGTTGTTTTTTTTTTTTACAGGAAGTAAACAAAATGAGAAAATGGGAGAAAACGACATCTGAAGATTTCCCTCTGAACTCTCAGCTGATTTGTGGGGGCTGCAACACACAGTGTGACTTTAAAGAGTCAATTCACCCAAGTTACAAACATATCTGAGGACTTTCCCCTTCCAGGTGGAGACAGTGGATGTGGTTGGAGTCTCCGTCACCTCGGTGCAGGTGGATGGACTTTACTTTGTGCTGGTTGCTGGATAACGCCAGTGATGAAAGCAAACAACAGCGACAGAGAGCCTGAGGGTCACACTGTTTAATGTAAGTATTGTGTTTCAGCTCCGCTCAACAGCTGACGGTACAACTGTTAAAACAACGGGCTTTTTGTAAAACTAGAATCGTCTCCTCGCGGTCGTATCCCTCCGCCACTCAGACTAGTTCCAGGTCACATCCCTGTTTGTCCCGAGTCATTTAAATATGAACCATTTGTGTCAAATTTTGTAATAATTTGCTGTGAAATTTTGAGTAATGGCTGAAAGTGTTTTGTGAGGTCACTGTGACCTTTGACCTTTAACCTTTGATCATGTAAATCTAATTAGAACATACAAAGGTTCACTAGGACTCGATGATGAACTGATTAGATTTTGAAATTGGAAGAAATTCCCTTGACGAGTTCCCGAGATATCGCGTTCACATGACCAAAATCATAAGTCTTTGTGACCTTGACCTTTGACCTTTGACCACTAAAATATAATCAGTTCATCCTTGAGTCCAAGTGAATGTTTGTGCCAAGTTTGAAGAAGTTCTGTCACGGCGTTACTAAGATATCGTGTCCACGAGGATGGGACGTCGCTCCGTCCATCCGTATGTCCGTACGGACGGACGATTGCCACGTCTTCATAGACCGCGTCCTCTGAAGGACACGGAACAACGGCGGCGACAACGACAACAACAACAACAACAACACAGCACAGCACAGCACAGCACAGCACCTCGTGAAGGTTTCATGAAGCTGTTTTTGGTCCGAATGAATCTAAAGAAGAGACTGAATCTAGAGAAAAGAAAAGTTAGTGTTGGATCTTTTTCTCTCCAAACCAGGACAAATAAAACCCGTCTGCGCTGAAGAGGTGGAAGAGGAAATATGTTGCTGTGACATGAGCGAACCGACTCTGACGTGCGTCTAATTAAAACAGTGGAGGGTTTTTAGCTCCGTCCAGCAGCTCGATGAATCAGTTGGACTTCAGTGTTTTTCTACAGTCTGAGTCATGTGCTCTTTCTTCCTCTTGAGAAACATTAAGTTTCGTCTTCTTCTTCCTGTTCACTGACTCATGGCGTTTGTGTCGTTGCTCTGCAGGACTCCTCAACGACGTCTCCGTTGCCCCGCCTCCGCTCTGCACTCGTCTCCGGTGTTTGGTCGGTGTCTGTTGGATCACCCCCGCCTGTCTGGACGAGGGGGGGGAGGTCAGCGGGGCGGGTGGGATTGGAGTTTCCGTCCTTGCCGTCCGACTGCGAGGACTCGGCGTCGTCGGCGTGATTCTGCTGGTCACACGGCCCGTTCACAGGCAGGTCAGTCTCGTGCGAAGCAGAGTGGTTGGTGAGGACGTGTGTGGGCGGGGCTTCGAATGAATTATCCGCCTGTGGCGACGCGCTCGACGGCGGGGGGGAGGGTGAGGTCTTGCTGCCGCTGCTGCAGCTGGAGTCGTCGGCGGAGTGAGTTTCGTTGACGTCAGGCTGCGCGTCGTCGCTCGTGTCCGGAGCGTGTCTCGACTGCAGACGCTCCGGAGCGCGTTCTCCGGAGTCCAGGGTGTGACAGCGACCCAGGGGCCGCTCTCTCAGCCGGGGCCCGGACTCCAGGCTCCCCGAGGGGCTGCTGACCTCCACCGTCTCCCCTCGCCTCAGCCGCCTCCTGTCTGGATTCACCTGCAGAGAAAAAGCTGGATCAGGACGTAGAGCTCAGACTGCTGTTTCAACCTGTGAGGTAACATCAACTCCTCCTTTAGGCGTTTTCCTTACTTTGGTTGCTAAGGTACTTCTTCACGTTTTATTGTAAATATTTTTATCTTATTGTTAATTTATAATTAAGATATCTGACCTGAACTACTTGTTTCATCTTTATTTACATTTCTATTTTTCCTGCTGTGTTTATTGATATGTCTTAGTCTTGGTCTTGGTCTTAGTCTTAGTCTTGGTCTTAGTCTTGGCCTTGGTCTTGGTCTTGGTCTTAGTCTTGGCCTTGGCCTTGGTCGGGCTCAGCTGCGCTCTGAGTTTAAACACATTAAAATGGCGAGATAACAAGTGTGAAAATACTAATGTCAGATTCTATGTGAGTCACTCGATGAAAGTCATTAGGCTTCATCGTCAGCTGTTGAGACAGCATAAGAAAGCACAAAAAGCATAACATGGTTAAAAACACGATGTCATCAGAGACTCCAGCAGCGTGAACGGTCACAGGTTACCTGGTTGAGGGTCGGTGAACACCTGGGGGAGGGACCTGAGGAACCTTTCTTCATCTGCTGAATCCTGAATTAAAGCACATTAAAAAAAAAGGAAAAATGAAACAAGCTTCCAGCCATTCAACACGGACACACCTCCTCCATGTCTTTGTTCTGGTGACGTCTACCTGCTGATGGACTGAGCCAGTTTCTGCTTCCTGCCGTTGGAGTGATCCTGCAGCCGCAGGCGCTGCACGAACGAATGAGCTGCAGGTGACATCGTGATTAATGGCCGACACAACACTGGAGTGATTTCTGACATTATTTGACCTCAGACGAAAACAAAAGTTCTAACATTACCCAGAGCTCCTTTGGGCACAGAGAGGAGTTTGATCGGCTCGGCGTCGGGGGAAAGTCCGGACGCTTTCTGCAGAGCTCTCAGGATCTCAGTGTTCTGCAGGAGGAAACAGAGATTAGTCTGATGCTGGTATTATTGATGATCCTGTTTCCAACCAAACCAGAAAATATATAAGTATAAAATTATATTTACATCTAATTTATATAAATGCCCCCCCCCCCACTCCCCCCAGGACCACCTTGCCGCCCAGCTCGTAGGCGCAGTCCAGCGGCGTCCTCTGCCTCTTGTTCCTGAGGCCCGGCGAGGCTCCGCCCCTCAGCAGCAGCTCCACCAGCGCCTGGTGTCCCCCCCGCACCGCCTCGTGGAGCGCCGTGTTCCCCTGAAGGTTCGCAATGTTCACCAGCGCGTTGCTCTGCACGGACGGAGGTCATGTTTGAAACCGCACCTCCTTCTCTGTGACACTTACAGAAGTGTGTGTGTGTGTGTGTGTGTGTGTTTACCTGTAGCAGGGTGTTGACCGTCTCCAGGTTTCCACAGAGACAGGCGTGTATCAGAGGTGTGTTGCCATAGTGATCCTTCTTATTCAGTTTGGCGTTGCACTCCAGCAGAAACCTCACCACCTACACACAGCAGGGAGAAAACACACTGTTTCCCACTAAAGACACAAAACAAAGATTTAAATCTTCAATTGAAAGTGTTTGTAAGTATTTAAGTAAATGAGGCGGTAACATGTTGACGGGTTAGTGTTGTCCCTGATCAAACGCAGCCGTTGTCATTCACCGGAAATGACGACCGCAACACCTGCCGGTTGTTCTGCTAACTTAACGTCAAAAATCAACGTTTTATTTTCCTGCATGTGTCCCGTGTATCATGTCCGACGTGTAAGTTAGTCCGCCATCGTCACAGACAACGCCTCCTTTGAAAATACATTGGCGCTCCCCTCCCCTTCCGCTACGCAGCCAAGATGGCGACCGTTGAGGTTGAGAAGCGTTGATCGTTCCGTTATGTTCCTTCTTTTGCGCCGTATTTTGTATTTCTAATGTGACTAATTAAAAAAAAATTAAAAAGCAAAAAATATAAGTGTGCATCGTTTCACACTCCATCTTTGGACCGTTGCACCATCCGGGCGCTTCAGGGTGCACTGCATGTCGCACTTGTCAATGTGAACGCACTGATGTTCTCAAAATTGCACGAGTTGTGTTGTTGTGTGGAAGTTTCGCTCAATGAACAAACGTCTTTGAAACATTTTTCAAACTGAACTTTACGCTGCAGTTTAAACAAACGTCTCGACTGAACTAGCGACAAAAAGTCAAACGGCTACTTCCTTGCACTTCAAAACAAAAGCACTTCCTGTCACCACTGTAATACTAAATTGTTACCATTAGCAGGTTGGTCATTTTTTACATTGACTCATTCAAACAGAGAAACATGAACCACATTAATTAATCACTTTGAACCAAACAACTCACAAGAAATTGAGACCCAGTGAAGAGTATCACCGCACTTAATATTTTCCCTGCACTGCCGACTTTTGGCCACACGGTGGTGCCAGTGAGCCAGGCTTCCTTACAGCAGACAGACCTGAGTGTTGTGGCAGAACCACTTCTACACATCAAGCCACAGTAAAAAGTTGTATTTTATCACAATGGTGTAACACAGCACTGTGACCTCCACCAGGAAACCTGCTGACTCTGCCTCCATCACGGTTCGTTTCCATAACGATTTAATGATACTGTAACAGCATCAGCTGATTTTAGCAAGGTGAGGAGAAATCAGAGAGACAGTCAGGTAAAAGATTTCTTGGATGGACTCAAAAGTAAAACAACGTGAGGATAAACACTGTGAGACAAGATATATTTATCTACTGGCAGCTTTCCCCGTAACACCTGTGGCTGTAGGAGGCCAGTGTGGGCAGTGCAGCAAACCAGGGAGCAGAACTTCTTTGTAGACATTTTTACTTTTGCATCCATGTGATAAAGTAACCTTCATTTGCAACGGACTAAATTTGCTGGATAATCTAAAAACACACTTTCCTTTTTAGTTATTTTTAGTTCTTCAATTAGATCAAATCCAACAAACTATTCAACAAAAGCGGTTTCCAAAATGACTCTCTAATCCCAATCTCTGCTCCTGTTTTGCTCCTACCTGGACGTGGCTGTTCTGGCTCGCTAGGTGAAGCGGCGTGGCGCTTTGGTTGGTGCGGGAGTTGACATTGGCTCCGTGGCGGATCAGCAGGGCGGCCAGCCCTGAGTGGCCATGCAGGGCGGCGACGTGGAGCGGCGTGAAGCCGTCGACGTTACAGCTGTTGACGCCGAGAGCTCCGGCCTGGAGAACAGACAACTGGAAGACACAAAGAGGACAGAGGATCAGATGGAGATGTAAACACTTCTTACAGCTACATTACAGTGTTTTATTAACCCTTTATTAAAGGTCCCATCGAGTGTAAAGGTCTGTGTCCATGTGTAGTGTGATTATAGATCAGGTCTAGGTTCTATATTAATACTGTGAAAGTATCAAAGCCTCAGTCCACAGAGAAATGCACACAGCCTGTATTCAGAAACTGAGCCTTAAAACCAGCCGTCAGGACTTCTGGAACTTTGTGATGTCACAACAAAGCAGTCACCAAGCCCCGCCCACCTGGACCCACCATCCAAACCTTGCAGGATTTGGTTTCTCTGAGTGTTTTTACCTGAAATCTGCTATATTTTTATTGGATCACTCAGAAAACAGTCAGCCAATCAGAAGAGAGGCTCAGAGCCTCCTCTCTTCTGATTGGCTGACTGACCTGTTGTTACTAGAGCTGCAGAGAGAAGCCTGAGAGAGGAGATGTAAAACTACATTGGTCAGACCTTCTGGGTGGGAGCGCAGTTCGGACACTGGCACAGCGGGTGGCAGAGCAGAGCCTCAGACCGAATCTCTCCTTCATCTTCCTCTTCCTCATCCATCCACTCCAACAGGTAACGCACCTGAAACACACACACACAGGTGAAAACAGTTCTTACAGCGCAGGATGTTCAGATGGAAACGTGCCGTGACTCTGTGCTGTTTAACCTCTCACCATCTCCACATCACCGTCTGCCACGGCGCGCAGCAGCTTCTCCACCTGTCAATCACACAAACACACACAGCGTCGGTCGCCATGGAAACAGAAGCAGCGTGCCGCCCGTAGAGCTTCTTCTTCTTCTGTAGTATAAAGAACTGCCTCTGCTTTATTACTGAAGAAGAAGAATGGAAGAGGCCTCTCAGGGACGTCAATATAACATGTGACTCTCTCTGTGTGCCGCTCTCGGTTACCTCTCTGTGTCGGACCCGTTCTCCCTCTGGTTTGGCCTCGGAGCCCAGAGAGGAGCTGCTGGAGATGGAGGAGCGACGGCTGCTGCAGTCTGAGGCCAGAGGGGAGCGACTGGGAGACTGGGAATGCAAAACCTGGTTATTTTCCATATTGAGAATAAAGATCTGAACTAAAGTCAGTTGGGTTCACACAAGGTGCAGAAAGCAAATGGAGTAAAAAAAACGGTTGGAAATTTATCAACTGAAATGTTTATCTGGAGCCTGTTGGTCACATTAATATCTGTTTGGATTCTGTGACCTTTGACCCTTCGAGTTCACAGGCTGGAGACTCAGACTCACATCAACTCTGCTGCCGCTGCGCTGACGGCTGCTCTGAGACGACTGCAACAACATGAGGATCTACAGGAGAATACACACACACACACACACACACACACACACACACACACACACACACAGAAGAGAAACATGTGTCAGCATCTGTACTGATTAGTTTGGCTGATCTGAGGTCAGGCTCGGAGCACACAGACTGAAGTTGACTCTGCAGGACGGATCCTGTGTAAGAGGATCAGTGGGCTCTGTTCCCACGACCCGGCCGCTCTAACACCTTCTGTTCCTGGAAACAACAGCAGCTGATCAGATTAGCTGAGCTACAGGACTCTGAGACATGAGCACAGCGTCAGACCAGCTGGAGCGAGCTGGGTGTTGATTTCTTACTGACCTTGGAGTTGAGCGCACACTGCAGCGGCGACTCTTTGCTCTTGTTGGGGATGTCGGTGACGGCTCCGTTCTCCAGCAGCACCTGGATGATTCCCTCGTAGCCCCATCGAGCCGCCATGTGCAGCGCCGTGTCGCCTTTGTCGTTCTGCAGGTCCAGACGGCACGTTTGGACGTCGTAGTACACCAAGGCCTTCACACACTGACGCACAACACACACACACACACACACACACACCGTCATCACCAGGAATCATCTGAGGAGTGACTCTGATTAATTGATTACTTGCTTCGTCTATAAAAGCAAAGAATGAGAGACCACCACAAGTTACAAAACCAGTTACAAAATGAAAAACAATTAAAAATCCAAATCTAAGGATGTGAAAAACAGAAAAGCAGGAAATTGTCACATTTCAGAAGCTGCAAACAGCAAATATTTGGTCATTTAAATAATCAATGTGTTCAGAAAATTGAGAGTCAGAGTCTGACTTACGTCCTCGTGCCCGTACATGCAGGCGAGGTGCAGCGGCGTGTTGCCGTTGTTGTCCTGAGCGTCTGTGTTGGCCTTGTAGTGCAGCAGCAGCAGCTGGTGGACAGGAAGCACATCATCAGTAATCTTAATTCACCTGAATGTAACTTTATTCATCTTTATTCACACACTGATGCAGCAGAAGCAAGAGATATAGTTTTATTACACACAACTTGGCGCCTACATTACCCACAATGCAACCTATGATAAATGGGGTGTGTGACATCACACTGCTTCACACTTCAGGCTTCGTGCTACTGTTTTCACACGTGTAGTAATACTCACCAACACGTGTAAATACTGTGATTTGGGACTTTTATTATTATTATTATTATTATATTGATTTATACACTCTCACTGTAAAATATATCACCCTATATATTTCTGTATCAATCACTTTAACTGCTGATGTCACTTTAGCTCCTGTGCTACATACAGTATCTGTTATAATGTCACTTTTTATATCATTTTTTATCAATTATTTACCAACATTTATTACTGTATAATCTACTTTATTTATTATTATAAACTGCACTTATGATATGATAATTAATAATAATAATAACTTTATCATATCACTCCACTGTGTTACTTTTATCAGTGATAAGAGGAACTGCACTACGCTGGGAGTCAAGTTACTGCACATTAAACACACTTATGTATGGAAGAAATACTGTATACAACTTTATAATTAATAAATATATAAATAATAAATCAAATTTGATTTATGTTTTTGGTTTTCCAGCTTCTCATTTTTAGATTTTGTTATTGCTGTGCTTGTTCTGTCCTTCTGTATCTACTGTGGCCTGTTTTATTATCTTTTCTTATCTTATTTATTCCCGTGTCACACTGCTCTGTAGCGGCACCGCCATTTTTATTCCCCTGTTTAATCTTACTCTTATTTTATTCCATTTATTGTGTTTAAATCTTGTAATTTTTCATTGTCTCATTTCTTTTATATCTCGTCTTATTTTATGTCTCAGCTTCCCCTTTATAAGTCTCATTTTTACATTGTTGTGTCATATAGAAAAACATGTTGTTATAACCTCTGCTTTGTCTTGTGACTCTTTTCTTTCATGTAGACACACACACAGGCAAACACTGTGCTGTAGGAGTGTGTGTGAGAGTGTGTGCGAGTGTGTGTGTTCACCGTGACTCCCTGGTATCCTCGTTGGCAGGCCAGGTGCAGCGGTGTGAGGGCGTGGTAGTCCGTGGCGTTGACCGGCGCTCCTTTACACACCAGCAGGTCTATCAGCTGGGCCTGACCTGTCACACACACACACACACACAAAGTAGTTCATCAGTTTCACAGGTGAATTAGGGCTCATATTGTTCTCATTCTTTATCCCTCTGCACGGCAGCAGCCGCTCACCACAGATAGCAGCGACGTGCAGTGGAGTGTAACCTCGATCGTCTCTGGAGAACGGCGTGACGATGGACGGGTCGTTCAGCCGCCTGCAGCAGAAACAGCAGAACATAACGTCCCGACAGACCGTTTAGAAAAAGCACTGAAACTGACAGGTAGTCTCATTTTACATCAATGTTTTTATCTTCATTTTCGTGCGACTTTGTGCTACATTTCTTATATGAAAGGTGCTATACATATTAAGTTTATTATAATTATAATTATAATTGTTTCTGACGACAGCATCAGATAGAAACTGTGTCAAACGCTCTTTAAATTCATAACCATGCTGGAAAGTCACACACTGTTCACACTTTTGTCAATGTGATGTCAAGTATTTATCTAAATGCAAATCACGTCCCCTGCGGATGATTCTTCACAGTTTACAGCCACGAGAAATATGTAGAAACACACACACACACACAAACACACACACACACACATATATCTATATATATCCATATATATATACAGTATGTGGCATTACACAGTTACACAGTTAAAGGAAGCAAGTGTTTTGAGTGTCTGGGTTGAAGTGGGAAGTGAAATCAGCACTGAGTTTTTGTTTCCTGATTCTGATGTAACAAAAATGGAGAAAAGGGGGAAATGAATCTTGAGTAGAAATACGAGTAGAAAAGAAAACAGAAGCAGGTGCTCGCCCTGGTGTCTGCTGAGCTCCAGGTTCAGTTTTAAACCACTGTAGTGAAGGCACATCTGCCTGGTTTAGGGTTAAGCCTGGGGTTTAAATTTAGGTTCAGGTTTAGGTTTAAGTTTAAAGTTTAGGTTTAGTTTTAAGTTAAAGTTTTGGTTTCAGTTCAGTTTTAGGTTTAAGTTTAAGTTTAGGCTTAAGTTTAGTCTTAGGTGTGTGTAGATGCTGACCCGGACAGCTGGAGGTCACAGAGGTCACAGGAGCAGAGGGGGTGACACATCCTGACGTCCTCATCCATCTCTCCTTCGCTCAGCAGCCGTTCAACCTCGGCCTCGCTTCCATTCGCTATGTGCTACATCACACGCAGACACAAGAAATTACTACGATATCCAATTATAAACTAATAACTCTGTGGTGGGCCTTCACGTTCCCTGCAGCTCACCTCAAACAGACAGTTGATGGGCGTGGCGGCGCTCTGAGACAACGACCTCATCCTCTCTTTGAACAGCGCCTTGTCGTTCAGCTCACCTGAGCCCTGAGGAGAAACGACAAACCATCGGTTAGTTTTAAATACTGCTGCGATACAACACTGTGTGTGTGTGTGTGTGTGTGTGTGTGTGTGTGTGTTTCTCACAGAGTGTGTGTCCTGCAGCTTCCCCAGGTTGATGTACTCCACTGCGGCCTCGAAGGTGCTCAGACAGTAGCTGAGTTCATCTTTACTGGAGTGGCTGAAGCAGAAGTTCCTGATGTAGCTCAGATTGGCCATCCTGAACACAAACAAAAAGATTTAGTGACACTGATGGATGTTTAACAATATTTAACAGGATGTTTAATGGTAAACGTCATGTGGATGAAACCAAGAACCATGAGATTTTGTCTTTTTATGTTTTACCTTTAGTAGCATCATTTCTCTACAGCTGTACAAACTGAGACTGAAACTAAAGAAGAAGAGTAAAGAAAATTAAAGCTCCATATTTTCTTCTTCTGTGTTTTATTGTAAGTGTTGATCCATAAGAAGATATATTTGTGGTTTTAAGAACCAAAAACCATCTCAGTGTAGTTTTACATCTCCTCTCTCAGGCTTCTCTCTGCAGCTCTAGTAACAACAGGTCAGTGAGCCAATCAGAAGAGAGGAGGCTCTGAGCCTCTCTTCTGATTGGCTGACTGTTTTCTGAGTGATCCAATAAAAATATAGCAGATTTCAGGTAAAAACACTCAGAGAAACCAAATCCTGCAAGGTTCGGATGGTGGGTCCAGGTGGGCGGGGCTTGGTGACTGCTTTGTTGTGACATCACAAAGTTCCAGAAGTCCTGACGGCTGGTTTTAAGGCTCAGTTTCTGAATACAGGCTGTGTGCATTTCTCTGTGGACTGAGGCTTTGATACTTTCACAGTATTAATATAGAAGCTAGACCTGATCTATAATCACACTACACATGGACACAGACCTTTACACTGGATGCAGCTTTGATTTAACAAAAGTGACCCGAATCCTGAGAAAAACATCTTTTTTTAATTGGAGCCTGCTGTTTGATATAAAGATTATTTGTTTGGAAAATGTTCAGCCTGATAAATGTTGATTATTTTGTGTGTTTCTGTTCTTTGGGTTCATTTTAGTCAAACTGTTGACGCACAAACATGTGGTGCGATTAACTGACAGGAAAAACTCTTTGATAGAGTCTCGTCTCCATGACAGCCGAGTAAACGGCAACAGACTCTCGCTTTCATATTTTATATTTCAGTTTCCCCGCCACATGACAAGACTGATGACTGACTCCACAACAACCTCTCAACAAGCCACAAGGTCAAAGGTCACAGTGGCTCGCCCTCACAGCTCACCAGTTGGGGATTTCCGTCTTCACCAGCAGGTAGAGGATGACGGAGAGCAGGTCGTCCGCGCTCACGGCCTCGATGCTGACTGCAGAGGAAGACGCACAACACAAGAACAACGCGGTCATTTTGCTGCGTCACCCTGAGGCTGTCGGCCTGACAGCGTCTCCCTCTGTGCAAACCAAATGACTCAATTGGCCACTTCACAAACATTAATTAGGAGCGGATCGTACCACTCTGCAGACTGACAGCGGGGGTTGTTGTGGTTCCAATAAGCTCGGATTTCCAAAGCAAACTGGACAAACACATTGGAGGCTGACAGAGCGGGTTTTGTTCTGGGAGCTGATCTGATTACAGACAATGAGAGGACGCTCGGAGATCATGCGGAGTTCAGTCCGCCCGGCCAGAAAAAGGTGACCGACTTACACACTGACGGTCCAAAACATTAGTCTTTGATGAGGTACATCCGAGGAAGAATCATTATTCATAAACAGAAGTTTTTGAAATGGAAACAGAGACAGAAAAGTCTCACTTTCAGGCTCAGGACATAAAAAGGACTAAATTTAAAGATGATAAAGATTCAAAAATGTCCATTTTTTTCCCTGATGGTTTCAGGTTGTTCTGAGGAAGTTTATCTCAGCTGATGTCAGTTGAACTCAGAGCTGCACAATCTGTAATACATTAACTGTGATTCCATGTTTGTTTTCCACAATGAATTAAACTTCATCAGATACTGATGTTTTTGTTTAGAGTTCATGGTCTGATGCTTCAAATCAGCTGCTCCCCAGGCAAAGTCTCTCTAGTTTAGTTTTTGTTCTGATCTCCTGTTTTCTAGAACCGGGAATTGTTAAATGTTGATACAATATTTGAGTTTTGGTAACGACTATGCCTACGGTCAAATCCTGATTTGCATAACCACGACGTCGTCTGAGAAAATCACCAAACAGATTACTTTAAAGACAAAGACCTCATGAAGATTATTCTCGTCCTAAAGATGGAGATTAGAAAACTGAAGAACTCAAACACACACGTATAGAAACACAGTGCGTACCGGTGCGTCTGGGGGTCTGCGTGGCCGTCACGGTGACTCTGCGCAGGCAGAGCAGTTTGAGGAGCGGGGAGGTTTTCTGGTTGAGCTGACTCAGCTCTCTCTTTGCCCGGGACAAGTTTATACTGGAGGAAGAACAAGAGCAGCACAGGTCAAAGCTGGGTGAGAGATAACAGCTTCAAACACAAGTCAGCACCTACAACATGTCTATTTAAAGATGTTGCAGGGGGTTTCAGAAAGCCACATGTGGGTTGTTTAAGACCTTGATGTTTTATCTGACAGAAAATTTAAACAAACACAGTCGTCTTCAGCTTCTGTAGAAGGTTTCAGGATGACAAACTGCTCATCTGTTTTACACCTTTAAGATCCTTTATCAGCTGTTTCTGGATGTTTTAATATATACACACTGAACTATTTTCCAAATAAACAACAGTTCTCAGGTCGGTTTCCTTCCTTCCATCCAGGCAGCTGTTGGTTTAGTTCTTTTTCGAGGAAAATCAACTTGCGGAGACTCGACTTTGTCTTTATCTTTTCGTCAGTGTCTCGTGAAATCTCACACAGGTCAATCTGAAACCTGAGATTAGAGAGAAACCTGCACAAATAACATGTTTGCTTGTCGTTCGTCCTCTATTCGTCTTCTCCAAACGGCTGACACATGGTTGATATCCAAAATCTGAGATCTGAAAAGACTCCAGGCGTGACTGACCTGAACTCAGGTTTCACTCCGAGGTCTTTCTGCTGCAGCTCCTGCAGACTCCTGGTGGTTTTGTTGAAGGCAGCGTCCTGTTGACAAGCAGCAGAAGAGACATGAGAGCAGCTCGTCACACCGAGTCTGAACCTTTGATCGATTTCATTCACAGCGACAGAAGCAGCGACTCCACGAAGGCGCCGCGCTCTGATCTCCTTTAACTCTCAGATTCGTCATTGTCTGAGATGTTTCATGCATTTCTGGATTTATTTTATGCTTCAGTGCTTTGATATTCTGTGATTTATGTCTGCATGTAACTTGCTGCATTCATTCACTAATGGTCTGCGTTTCCTCTTCACTGATGGTGGAGCGGCCATTTGTCTTCAAACTAAGTCCAACATAAAACTCAGAAGGCCACTGATGATCATCGACAACACGGGCAAAGGAATACACTGTCTGAACAAAGCCACTGCATTTTTCAAACTGTATTTAAACCAAAGAACTGTTTCCTGCTTTGGTAAAAAACCGTAGGCCCACCCAGGTGCATGCTGGTCCTACTCACCTAAAGAACCTAATGTGCCCATGGCCCCAACAAAATACTAGTTAACCCAAACTAACTATGCTAAATAAGCAAATAATTTATGACAAACAAATTAAGAAAAGTAATACAAACTCAAAACAGATGAATAAATAATAGAAAAACCAACAAACAAACTAGTAAACAGCTCCTACAGATGGAGTTCTCCCTGTACGAGGGCTCTGTAAAGACACCCTCACCCTTTGATCTTGACACCAAAACCTGACATTAACAGTTTAATTAAGATTCACTTCACTGAAACACTTGTCGCTGAATGTTTTAAAATGCTTTCAAACCCCTTTGTCATCCGCACTTCTGCCAGTTTTCCACAGGACGTAGAGTAAGTGCAATAAATCCAACAAAACACCCAACAATTACAACAATTCAAAGTCTGTTCTTTCGTTAGTAGATCACGTGTTTTCATCACTGACTGTCAGCGAGAGCTCAGACTCACCTGGCTGGCTTCAAGCGTTCCCACAAAGTTAAAGATTAAATCATGGATACCATGATGAACATACATCTGAGGAGAAGAAGGAGAAGAAGGAGGAGAACAAGAAGAAGAAGAAGAACGACAAAGATCGTTTTAGTTTCCGTCACAGTTCTAAGAAAGCGAAGCCACAGTGGTGTCAGACACAGTCCAGCAGAAACATCAAACATTTAAACTAACTAACTAACTAACTAACTAACTAACTAACTAACTAACTAACTAACTAACTAACTAACTAACATTTGATTTGGTGACGTTGAGTTTTGGTCACAGTGACAACAACTGAATTACTCTTTCAAAGCAGGAAAGGAGGTTTTAGTTTTCCTGAGGTATTGTGATGCTTATGTGAATCATGCTGTGGTAGTGAAAGGGTTAAACACTGCACTAACAGTGTATAAGTTTTTTGGGATCACTCAGGTTGTCATTCAGATATGGAGGCTGCTAACCTACAGATGTATACTCATTTAAAATAATAATTAATAAAAAAAGCTAAGACTTTTATTTTGAAAGCGTGTGCACATGGAAACATTAATGTGATCTGAGTGAACTGACCTCCACCGCCTGTTTGAGTAGAGTCATCTGAAGCTCCTGCTTGGCCAGGAGTTTCTGCAGAAAGAACAAACAGCCTCCGTCAGAGCAGTGAAGGCGGAGAAATGACATTAGTCACCACAGGATGTGATGCAACTCCTCGCATCACTGCGATTAGGCAGAAAATCGACCAGAGAAGAAGAAGGTGGGGCTCGGTGAAGACGGCAATGTCGCAGATAATCTCGTTAAGACTCGTGTCCCAGTTCAGGAGGCGGATCGTTCAGGAGGCGCCAGCCACCGCCAGTTACAAGCTAACAATCAACACAAATGCTAACTACGCTAACCGTTCTGATCCGTCTGCTAGTCTCTGGTTCTGGTCTCAACAGACTCCTCCTCTGAGTCTGGGTCTGACTGAGTCTCTTTGATGTTTCCTCCTCTGACCATCTTGATGCGCTCTGCTCTTTCACCTGTCCACCTGGAGCCAGCAGGTGGTGGTGGGCGGGGCTCAAGGCCTGATCAAGGTTTATCAATCAGGAAGTAAGTGCAGTTTGTTTTGTTTTTTTCACTTTTAGTAGCAGGGGATTTTTACAAAGTTTATAACATGTCTGTAGAGGATCTTTAAAGCAAGGGTTAGGGATCCTGCACCTGAACTTGGGACACAAATCTGCTTCTCAAATTCCCGACCCAACCCCTCCCACTGTGTCTCCATCACCCTCCACTGCACCAGACTAACAGCTGATCCGACAGGACGGTCGGCTACTCACCAGGCGAGAGTCTCTCAGCAGACACTGAAGACACTTAGTGTAGAGACCGTTCACCGAGTCCTGAGCGGAGGGAGGAGAGAGAGCTGTCAGAGCTGGAGTGTCTATCTATTCATCGGAAAAATTAAACCTTTATATGGTTTAGTTCATTTTAATAAAACACAAGAAAGTCTGTGTAAAACAAGTTAGACTCAATATAAAAGTTAAATGTCTGTATGATTTGCTTTATTGTTTTTGTGAAGCTTTTTATAACCTCTGCTGACTAAAAGTACCGAATCAATAAAAAACAGAACATGAACAACATGAAGAGAGAGGAGGACGCTGCAGGAAGTTGAGTGATTCAAAAGAAATGGAAAGAGAAAAGATGAAGTGGTAAAGGAAAGACGAAAGATGACAGGAGGACAGAAAAAGAAAAAGAGGATGTTGGCAGAAGGAATGAAGAAAGAGGAGAAGAAGACTTCAGAGTTCATCCTACGATGTGGTGTCGCAGTCCCTTCCTCTCCTGCTCCTTGAAGGCCTGACAGAAGCCGTGGACGAACTTGTCCAGTTTCTGGGCGTGGCTGCCCAGGAACTCCCTGACGTCCTCCACGCTCTTCAGGCAGTAAGGGGGCGGCGGGTTGTTCTCGGCGGGGCTGGGTTCCACCTCGACGGGCCGGGAGATGCACAGGATGCTGTAGCTCTGCTCCTGGTCGTTGTAGAAGGTTTCCTCGAACAGGATCGGGACCGACGCCGGAGCCGGGAAGCCGGATCCCAGCAGGACCTGCCTGTCCTGGATCCTGACCTCCTGAAACACAACAAGTCCGAGAGGTGCAGCAAAGAGTTTTTATACTGTTATATTAACAGCTAAATGAAGGTGAGGTTGGGAAATGTTTATGTGATCATTATTTCTGTGTCCAGGAACTAAACCTATTCACAGATTCTGGACTTTAAACTGAAGGAGACGGAGCAGGTGTTGTTTTACTGCACTTCTTTGTTATCTCTAATCCTATTTTTCCATTTTATTTCTATCATATTTCTTGATTTTACTTCTCAAAAACAAATTCCCTGAACACACAGGGAACATGGTCTGATTTGGAGGACTTTGATTCAGACGTTTGAGGAACCAGTGTCTTGATTTTAAGTTATAACCTGTAACTTCTCCACATTAAAATGTCTAAAAACATCTAGACCTGTGTTCTATGTTTTGTTGTGTTGTGTTCTTACATTTCCCCAAATGTTTCCATCAATTCTCAAACTTAGAGAAATCTGTGATTTTAATCATGGTAATGTTTGATTGGTCGCCTGTCAGTGACATCACATCCTCTATGATCATGTGTCAGTTGTGTTTGTCTGACAGAAGCTCAACATCGACCTTTATCCAGTTTTAAGTCACATTTTTTAAGATTGACTTTTTACACCTCGGTGGTTTTAAATTTTACATTTGAACCAGATGAAGGATTTTAGTCGTCGGGCGTCTGGATCTGAAGTTATCAGAGAAACTTCGAGGAAATGTTCGACAGCTCAGCTCAGAGACGTCCTGTGTCCGCTGAACTGTGTCAGCGAATCTCTGATTTTTAAAGTGAGACTGATTTATTCAGTGTTTCTGCTGGTTTTAATCCCCTGGTGTGTTTGCTGTGGAGAGGAGGAAACCTCTGAGGATAATTCAGCTGCTGGTAAAAACCTCCTGAACCACCGACACCGAAGGAATCCAAACCAGGAGAAGCCGACGGCGACAACTCCCATGATCCCACGCTGCTTCACTACCTCACCAAATGCCATCTTTTATTACTGTTTTAATTGAGAGACAGCTAGAGGCAGACGTTGCATCCTGTGGGTTTAAAATTAGATTTTTGGAAAAGCCAATTGGAGTCTCCTTAAATCTTGATTTTGTCGCAGCCAATAGGAAACTCCTGTTTTTAATTTAGGCTTTAAAACTGCCAAGACTCAAAAATAAACTTTATTTATTTATGGTACTTTTTAAAAACACTCTTGTGTGATGATAGAAATAAAAAGGACACACAGACAGGTAAAACTAAATGAAAACAACACAAATATAAGTGTCTCTTTGGCGCCGGCTGTTTTGATCTCATACTGCTGCTGTGTGTTGGCTCAGTGACATTAATCAATAATGTCATTAGTTCCATCTGTGCTTCTTCTGCTGTGACAAGTCAAAATGTGAAACAGGGCTTTGTTCGTAATCCGGACTTTGGGAGCGGCTGATACAGTTTTGATAGACGGCATCATGTGTTTCAGAGCGTATCATAACATCTCAGTCAACACGGTTAATTCCTGCATATTATTTTTTTGGGGCTCGGTGCTTTCAAGCGACTCTGATGGAGACGGGAGACAAACCTTTCCGTCCGCAGTCTGGTATCCGTCCTCCACCGGCTGCAGGACATAGCTGTCGAACTGAGAGTCTGTGAAGCTGCTGACGCTCAAACTTCCACAGCAGGGAACGAGGACCTGCAGGTTTTTGGTAACACGGGACAAAAATAATGTTACCGAGTTGTTTTTAAATCATCCATCAACTTGCGGTGAACTTGATTTCAAAGATAATCAAAAAACTAAATCCAATCTCTCAAATTTTTTCCTGATTTGTTTCCTCATAATTCACTTTTCTGAGCTGCTGAGACGTGAAAGAAGAGCGAATTCTCCCTGTGACCAGAAACTCTGATTGTGAACATCAGGTCAATGAGATATACAAAGACATTGAGTATCATCTAGAACATTGCGTTACTAATTAGGGCTGCACAATTAATTGAAATATAATCGAAATCACAGTTTGGCCAAGTGCAATATCCAAACTGAAGGAGTTGCAATTTTTCTTATAAAAAGGTAGAAATGTTGTGATGCGACAGAGACGCTCTGGTCTATAAATCATATTTTCCAGACGTAAAGGAACATGTTTGTCTGGTACAAGACCCAAAACACAAATCACATCATCATCATTTTTGTGACTCATATCACAATATTTTTTTTTTCCAGCTAGCCTCTGCCCAGTCGGACTGTCTCGTCACTTTCCGATACCGAGTCAGTGTAGCGTCCAGTCCAAAGAAGCAGCTGATCAGAGGATGTATTGCCAAGACTGGTAAGTAAAAACCTGTCAATGCTAACACTGGCTACGTAGCATTAGCGAAACTTACAAATAAATCCTTTAAGGTTTGAAATTTAACATTTCTGCTCACACCATCCAGTCTTTCCCCGACACTCTGACGACTAGAAGACAATCATTCTTACGTTCACGTGACAAATCAACAACACTTTAATTACTGGGTCAGGAGAATTTAAAGGATCTAAAAACAAACATGGTCACGAGCCAGAAAAATTGTGAAATCCTGATGTGTGGTCGAGTGTGTGGTGAACTGTGTTGTATAACTGATCTTCCAGGTCAGCCGTCTGCTGTGAAATGGGTTTTACGAGCTGTAATCTAGTTACAGATGAATCCTCCTGCGTGCTGATATTTTTACGACGTTCAGATCATCTGAGTTTCCAGAGGAGTCCTGGTGAGTCAGAGCTGCTGCTGCTGCCGGCCTGCACTCAAGACATCCGACTCTTATCTGCGTCTTGACAAGCCACAGCAAGTTTTACAAACCGATTTTCCAGTTGTTATTTGATATTTATCAATTTTCAACGCGGTTGCATTTTCTGTCTCTTTCTTTTTTTTTTTTTTAAAGTTGAATGTGACTGAGAAAACTCATTTATCAATCATGTTATCAAACCCAGCCTCACACCTTAAATATAACCTGAGAGATGCAGTGAACGCACAGAGCTCGCTGGGCTGAGAGGAGGAGGTGTCTGAGGGAGTGAGTGCTAAAACCACAACAAAAAAACCCCTCTGGTGAAATGACACCTCGATGTGCTGTTAAGACAGGAAGAGGTCTGACACATAAAACATTTAGAGTTATTTCAAAATGAGACTGAGGAAGTTTCTTTTGTCTCCTGATCTAAAACATTTGAACACTGGAAATGATGCTGATCCAGGCTGAAGGGTGAAAACCGACTGTGGGAAATCTGTCAAAGACACTGGCAGAGGAGGAAGTGGCCGGTGAAAGCTGGTGTTAAAGGAAACTGTGGTCTGCTCGCACCTGCCACATTACTGGTTCTATTGTACTGTTGTGTTTTCTCTCTGCATTCAGTCTCTGTTGCTCCACAGTCTGGTTTTCTTCCAGTTGGTGCTTCTCATTTCAGCAATGAAGCTTTTGCTTTTCGTCTTGTTCCCTTCTCTGGTTTGTCAAGACCTGAACTGCTGCTGAGATCTGATCTCACCAGGAAATATTTTCTGCCTTTTCCCGGCATCTCCTGTCCATACTTCAGTACTTGTTAAACAGAAACGCAGCAGTGCTCAAACTACGATTGAAACACTGAACCGCCATGAGCAAGACGACCTGCCCATCAGTTTGTCAGCAGTTCCTGACTCCTGAGAAATCAAGTTTCACAAGTGAAGTCTGGGTCTTCAACATCTGGAGCCTTGACGAACGAGAGGTTAAACTGAAAAATACACGGATGTTTTTTAGGCTTGACATCACGCTGGGTGACAGGCAGGCATGGAAACAGACTTGGTGAAAAGATGATGAGACGTCACTCGTCACTAAAGTTTTTTGCTATAACTAGATAGCTTACGTTAGCATTAGCAGCTGTGTTTACTTACCAGTCTAGAATAAAAGTTGCCAATTCAATGTTATCTGTTGTTTTGCTTCTATTTGTCACTTCTTTTCTTCTACTGACGTTAGCATGCTAACCAGCTAGCACCGTTCAATACGGGTCACCTTAGCGCCCAGGCGGCCCTCAAGAAGTAGCTGCTCAGAGGCCGTATTATCATTTTTTGTTTTGTAAATGCCACAGTAGCCGAAGTTCTTGCCAAGACTGGTAAGTAAACAGCTGCTAATGCTAACGTTAGCTATGTCGCAATAGCAAAACTTTCAAGTAGCTCTTTTAACACATGAAACAAACAGAAATGTCAGATTTCAATCATGTTTTCCATCGTTTGACCTTTGACTGGAGCTCTTTTAATCACCTCATCTTCTTCTGTGGTGGTTTTAATGGCACCAACTGGAGAATCAGCTCCACCAGTTGTTTATCTCAACGAACCAACTCCTAATGTTTGCATGACGGTAGTGGATGGAAATTCTTTTTGTCAGTTTTCCCTGTTAAAATTTGCACTACATTCGGACATTCCTACTATAACGTTTTCAGCCAACTTGCCTTCAGCAGAGCGATGGTGGTAAAATCAAACAAACTAAAAAGGAGACAACGCGGCGTGACTCACGATGCCGTGGAGCTCTGCCACTCGGCTGCAGAGGTCCGGTCTCTGCTTCTCCAGCGCCAAGTAGAAAGTATTCTTCAGGATGTTCTCATCATATACAGCCATAAGGAGCTGGAAGTCTGGATCCTGGAGGAGGAGGAGAGGATCATGATTAAACAGGTCCTGACACTTGGTATCAGATTGGATACAGTGTTCTGTTTGTATTTGTATTGTATTTGTACACTGAAAATACTTATTAAATAGACCTCGATCAAAAAAGTTCTAAATTACTCGACCACCTCTAAAGACGTTCTACGGAACAAAGAAAGATTCTCCTTCGCACATTTCGGTGAAACTTTTGAAGCCAAAGTACGAACAGGAAATTCTCCTGATAAAACAAAACCAAAGATTTGCATTTTAAAATGTTGCTACAGAGGCATTATCGAGAAAAATTTTAAAATGTTGCTTGCTTTGGGATCAGACCTGGCTGCTGGGTAAAGTTTAGCGAATTTTTGTTCTTGGGAAAAAAAGTTTGAGTCATAAGAAAGAAAGAGACCTTTTTGCCTTAAGCTATAAATACCTATTACATAGATGGTAATGGATAAATGATGACAGTGACTAGCATGTGGAAATCCTGGACATTTGTCAAGAACTGAGTTATAGCTGATCACTGATGTTTGAGAAGAGAAAAACAAAGCTCCAGAAGCGATCTTGTGATTCGAACATGTCTCTAAATTTATCTCTGAAAGAAAAAAAACAGAATATTCTTAATTAACCGCTCTGTTGGAATCGGCAGACGAGACGGAGGCCACCAGAACAAAAAGTCCCTTTCAGGCTGATTTGAATAATTGTTTTGACAAATTTTATTTTTTCCGGGATTTTCTGATTCTTTCAAAGCTGCAGCTCCCGTCACGGCCGACTCTCCTGCAGACAAACAGACCCTCCTGTCGTGAGGGGAAAGGTCCAGCTAAGGACTGCATGTAACCCTGTGGAGTCGCCGTCTTCTCACCAAATAATCATGTTGATGAAAATGATTTGTGTGAATCCTTGAGGTCTAACAAACACGTTGAATCCGTTTCCTTCCTCATAAAACATCTGCACAGATATTTGGAACCTGTGTTGTTCACAATCCATGTTTGATCGCTTGCAGCCTGCGCTTTATCAATCAGTCGAATAGTGTGAAACCATTGGTGAAACCAAACGTGTCAACACTGTCGTCTGCAGACAATATTTCAATCCCAATTTGCTCTTCATGAGGTCAAAACTTTACCCTAAAGTTTTCATTAACAGACCGTCTGGCCTCCAGAACAGTCGGAAACAATTTGCCAGCTAACTGACTGGTCAATCAACAGAGAATTAAATTAATTAGCAGCTATTTTGAGGATAGATTAATCATTCGAGTCTTCTCCAGGCTGCTGATGTGAAGATGTCATTTGTGCCATTTCAGACATTTCATAGACCAAACAATTAATCCTGAAAATACCGTGCAGGTTAATCAATATGGAAATAACTGTTAGCTGTGGTTGGAAAGAACCTCAGGATGTAAATCATAGTGCGATTTCTCTTGTGAGTCAAGAAATGAAACGTGTGATCTGTCAGATGTCTCTGGCCTCAGGCCGAGCTGCAAAAACTCACACAGAGAGAAAATGAAAAAGCAAATGCTGGATGAAATCACACACACACACACACACACACACAGACACACACACACACACACACACACACACACACACTTATTGTGTTTTACTTTAAAAAGTACCCACAGAAAAAGCTAATATCAGTTTAAGTGTGCGCTTTATTTTGAATATTTTCTCCACTTATATCTTGCTGTCAAACANCACACACACACACACACACACACACACAGAGTAATTCATTATGCACTTCCCAGTCACTTAGATAAATACACTAATGCAATCCAGTACAGTACTGGTGGAGTTGTACAGAACTGTATTACAGTAAATACATAAATGACATATCTATCTATCTTTCTGTGTTTCTAATACCCCCCCCCCTCATGTTTGTAAATGGGGAGACTAAACATTAGACACTGAATATGATCATTATTGTCTTTATGAATGAGCTGTTGTAGCAGATTAACCAGATTTTTACAGGTGTGTTTGATAGAGTGAGCAGTGAGTGATGTTGTTAAAGTGATAGTTCAGGTTATTGTGTTTTACTTTAAAAAGTACCCACAGAAAAAGCTAATATCAGTTTAAGTGTGCACTTTATTTTGAATATTTTCTCCACTTATATCTTGCTGTCAAACAGCCCTTTCCTTTGGAACTACATTTTGTCAACCGTTTAACTACTGTATTCCTACGCAAAAGCATTTTTTAAATGTGCTAAAACAGATTTTTTGCGGATGAGCCCGTCCACAGCAGCTCATCGCTCTGAGAGCTGATCTGAACCTACTGCAGGTAATACACTGACTGAAGATAACACCCTTCCAGACAAGATTTATTTTCACTATATTTCCATCCATAAATAACACAATGACAGAACGTATGAATATTTTGGTCGTGGGTTTCAAACACTTTCTGTAATAAAACATCTAAAAGCTAAAATCTTAAAGTTTGTGTCAGTTTAGGGACCTTGACATGAACTTAAAGAATCACTGGGCTTAACGACAGAAATACCTCTTTGTATAAAATACCTGTGCTTCTATGTAACGCATGCTGCAAACTCAAAAGGAATAAATATAAAAATAGAAACAAAACATGAATGTTATACATTACATCATCTGCTATCTGCAATAATCTAGAGGCTGCTCAGATCTGATTTCATAGATAATGATATAAAACCTTCACAATCTGATTTACAGAGAGTTCACAGTCACGCCAGCAGCTGAGTCTGTAATCGATCATTCGTTTCACTCCTAATAATCTTCAACATCTTAGCGTGTTAGCATGCTAACACTTGCTAAGTAGCCCTAAGAGTTTTGCAGGTTTTGTTTTTTTAGCTAAAGTACCAGATAAATAATGTCGACCTCATGGTGGCGCTACAGGGGAAATTTAACAAAATATATTAAATACTCTGATGCACCAAATTTATTTAACAAAATACCTAATTCATCCATCAGGGAGCAGTTAAGCAAATCAGTCGGTAAACAAAACTACAAAATAAAAGTCCTACATAAACATGTATATCTATCAGTAACATAAAAATAATTCCTTTTGCATTTACAGCTTCTGGAATAGACGTAAGTTTCGTACATTTGTTTTGGGGCTTCGTTGATCTAAAACATATCTGTCCTGCCATTCTCCCAGTGATCAAACAGCTTTAACAGCCACTGAACTTTCTCCTGTCGATCGATCAGTTCAACCGTCTGCTCCTCACCAGAGAAATCATAAACCGCACTGACTGTCTGCAACACTCAGCTCACCTCATCCCTCCGCTCAGAGGTCAGCTTCATCCTCCCTCAGCTGCAGCGCAGACAAACTGGGAACCAGTTTAGCAGAGCAGAGACAGACTCCCCACCCACCCGAGCGGTCCCATGTCAGGCGGCTCAGCTGGGATGAAACTGAGGAATGAGTCACGTGACCCTCGAGGTCCTCGTGACCTCTCGGGCTCGAAGCTACCGGCGTAATCAATGGCGCAGAGGAATGTCCATCCCCTCAGGCCCGACACACACGTTACACTACACACTCAGATCTCAGTTATTCAGCTGATGTCTGAGCCTCAGGGTTTATAATGTGTGTGAACGGCAGGAGAATTACTGCAGCAGCAACAGAAAACAACCAGCAGTAATGAGATTAAAGTTCAACCGAGCTGAAACCATTCAGACGCTGTTGATTTTTAAATTACCAATCAAAACTTCCAGAGCAACACTACACTTCTCTTTAGTGCTGAGGCGATTCATCAGCCCGCAACATCAAACATTTCCTGGTTCCAGCAGCTCAAACGTGAGGATTTACAGCCTTTCTCTGTTTTATATTATTGCAAATTTCACAAAATTTGCTTGGAGTCGAAGAAATGTGACGTTTACACATGTGACACAAAAAATGACAAAATATTGTCACCAGGTTGTCACCGAGCTGAACTGTGACTTTCGGCCAATATTCAATATTATAAGAAATAGATTGCATTTTGCACAGTCTGCCTCGCTGCGGAGTCCGACTCTTGTTTCTCTGTTTTTGAACCTCAGCATGTGACAAATAAAACTGAGCATCGCTTATACCTGAAACATAAAGGTAAGATAATCCTTCATTCGTCCCACAGTGGGGAAAAACTTGCAAATAATTTCAGTTTTGTAGTGATCCCCGTTCCCCTTTACACCACACAACCACTGGGGGTGCTGTTTTATTAGCATAACAAAACATAATCATATAATTACAGTATATATTTAAAAAAAAAAAAACACACACAACTGAAACATAAAATACAACAATATAAATATATTAAATTGAGTTGAAGGAGAGAAAACGGAGAAACGAAGTGTGATACTGCACTGACGTTCAGCTGAGCAGAAACCTGCATGAAGACCCCGAGGCGGCCGTCACACTGACACAGTTAAGTGAAAACTGTCACGCTGAAATGCTCCAGATAAACAAACTGACAGTCATGATGCACAAACTCCAAATTCAATCAGCTTAACTTGTTATAATCCTGAGGTCAAAGCTGTGTTTGTGTGTGTGGAGAAAGGTAGACCTTCTGTGCTTTACCTGAGGGAAGATGATAAATATGAGAAAACCTCCCTTAAATCACTTAAGAGCAAATGTTCTCGCACGAGACTCGTTAATTAACAATGACAATAATTATCAGTCACAGCCCAGTTGACTTCACGGCAGCAAATCAGTGCAACAAAGGAGGCTGTTCACACTGTACACATACTGTACATAACCACATACTGTATGTATATGAGATAAGATAAGATGAACCTTTATTGATCCCTATAGAGGAAATTCTAATTTGACACAGCAGCAGAAGGGGAAAATAATATATTAGTATATAAGTAATAAGAAATAAAATAAGAGCAGAAACAGAATCTAAAATAAAAAGGACAAAATATAAAATACTATAGACAATAAGAATATATTATGCAATGTAGGCGATTCTGTACATGTGCAACATAAAAATAAATAATTAAGTGGTTGTGCAGTTTGTGCCAATTCTATTGTAACATACAATATATGTACATAGCAGTCTTTATTGCGATTAACGGATATACTATATATATATATGGATGGATATAAAGTAACTTACACAACCTAATTAATATGAATGTCACCTGTTTCCTTCTGGTTGTCTCATATACAGATATCGCATGTTGTGTCTATTGTTGTATATAACAGCCTCATGTTGATGTTTATTTCTCTCTGCTCGGCTCTGTTGTCCTTTGTTTTCGCTGTATGTCCTTGAGCCTCTCCCCGGACACTGTGTCCGGTGATGTGTGCTGTGTGTGGATACACTGAGAGCCGCTGTAAACCGGAGTCAATTTCCTTGGATGAACAAACTAACTTAAGTCAATAAAGCTGAATCTGATAACACCCTATGAATAAAAGGTTTTTTATTCCTGCATAACAAATACTTCTATTTTTTTTTTATCTTCTCTTCAAACCTCACTTTCCCGTCGCCACTTGTATGATGAAGGATAATGTCAGTGAAAAGAGTTACGCCGCCAAACTGACTCCAAACCACAAATGTGATTAAATGGGCGACAGTGAGGACCCAAAGATCCACTACTAAGTTATTTATCCTTTATATGGCCTATTATACTCCTGCTGTTAACTTATTACAGAAACAAATGTCCAGCCTTTCACATCAAAGCAAAGCAGTGTCAGACTGAAAACATGTGTTTATCCCAGGTCACTGCTTCAGTCTGTGAAAAGTATAACAAATGGCCATTTTTATTCCTCCACGCAGGCGACAGTCAGAGCAGCAGCCATATTGTTTTTTTGAGTTGTCTGCCCTGTCTGTCCCAGTCTCATGGACACGATATCTCAGAAACACCTTGAGGGAATTTCTTCAAATTTGGTAAAAACGTTCACCTGGACTCAAGGACGAACTGATTAGATTTCGGTGGTCAAAGGTCACAGTGACCTCACAAAATTTCAGATAAATGTTTGATATTTTATACGACTCTGGATAAACAGGGATGTAACCTGAACCTAGTCTGATGGAGGTCATATAAGGCAAGACAAAAAACTGAGATTAAAGCTGTGACATGTTTCAGTCTATTGATTATTATTATACTATAGTCCTATAACCACAGATCAATTAAGTAAGAAAGATGTATTAGAAAATAACTGAGAGACAGACAGACAAACACTTCTTTCAAATACTAAAGAGGACAGATGGCAGGGGAGATCAGATGGACTGGGTGAAGTGAAAGAAGACACCACTCCTGCCTCCTGGTTTCAACGGATCAATAAAAATCTTTCAGAAGCTGAACGCTAAAACCACCGCTAAGAGGATCCACAGCTCGATAGTGACCATCACATCACATACCTCTCCTCAGGGCCGCACACATGACGCAGCCTCAGCGTACAGACCACGACCACCTTTGACCTATAAATAACTTCACCTTATCAGGCTCTGATCTCTGAATCAGACAGTCAGGTGTGAAGGCCTTTAACACAAAGCACAATGCAGGACTTCAATCAGAAAACTAAAGTCAACTGACCTTTAACACAAAACAAGGATGTGTCAATGAGCCACAGCTAAGGGCGAGGTTTCCTGGGAGCATTTTCAAAATAAAATCTTTATCGATAAACAATCTGGAACATACTCTGGTGCAATAACTTACCACTGTAACTAAAATAGATTTAAAAAATAAACTTTAGTTATAATAAAACAGACCATCCAAAGTGCAGCATATAATAATGCCATTAAGATTTAAGGTTGAATCTTCTGCTTTATTTATATTTGGCTCAAAGGCAGCTGCTTCCTTTTGTGTGTAGAAACATCAAACCAAACTCTGTTTTAAAATGTGACACTTAAATGTTTGTTTGCTTATTAAAACTGCTGCTAAGCACAATAAATATAAATTGTCGATTGATACAATATTTTGGGTGTAAAGATGCATTCGGGGTGTAAATTGTCCTTCTCCTTTACTTTTAATCTAATAAAATCTCGGTTGTTTTGAAACTTTTCTATCCCTCCACCTACGGTGTCAGTAAATAGAAGTGGAGGCGAAACAATAATCTATGCTCATTGTTTCTTTAATTTAAAAAAATACCTTAAGGTTTTGAAGGTTTAGAAGTCTTTAACAGTGTTTTCAAGTGCACAACTATAGAAGGCAGCGTTGACTTTAAAGTTTCTCAACATTAAATTTAACTTGTCATTTTTATGAATGGAGTCTGGCGTCGCGTTTTCGTTACCTCGGGGCTTGGTTTAAGGATTAGCTGTAATCGATTATAGCAACAACAACAAAAAAGCTCTTAAATGCGATTTCCGTTGCGTACATTACAGGTGGCAAGATATAATTTTTGGTTTGTATACAACTAAACTGATTGCTTACCAACATTAGCCGTTTGTGAATTAAAGTATGAGATATTTTGGGGCTTTAACGTGACTAAGCCTCAGAACCGAGGAATGGAAGTTTTAAAAAATTAGCCCGCTAGCTACAAACAACAAGAATATAAACCGTAGATTAGCGGTTAGCATTAGCTCTGCGGGCAACAGCGATCTGTATTAGGATAAATAATGTTAGCTTATTTACATGCTAGCATCTCGTAGCGTGACAATCGGCCAACAGGAGCGGTAATTAGTGAGGTAAATGCTTTACCTGTTATCCGTGGGTCCGTCAGATCATCCAGGCGTTAGCATGGCAGTGTAAACACCTACAGCCGCTTGTCATGAGCTGTTTACTGGGAGTCAGCAGGCTAAAACAGCTGCAGCCAGTACCTTAGCCTTTGGCCGCCGGGTTGCCAGATTTTATAGAGGAAACACGTAAAATAAGCCGTTAAAAAGTGGAGCGCATGTTGAATCAAATCCTGCACATTTGCCAGTCCTCACTAATCGATAAAGGAAACAGTTAGTGATCCGAACACGTAGTAACACGTTGGGCCCTAGTTACTGGGTAACTTTAAGTAACCAAGACAGATGCATCTAAAAAAAAACAAAATGGTGCACACTGCCCTCTACAGCCCCGCGCTGTGTATCCAACAAACCAGTTCTTTATAGGGAAACTCCAACAACACATAAAATTCATGTGGAGTATTACTCAGCCTGTGAAATAAACTGTTCATTTTATTCAGTTTTGTTGTATTATAACTTTTATTTAGCCAGGTAAATCTGGTCAGGATGGCAGCATCATAAGTTTAAGACAGGACAACATCTGGCACACAAATAAAACAAAACTAAAAACCAAGTGACAGTGTGTGAAAGTTAAAATAAACTAAGGACAGAAACAGTAACGGGATCATGAGTTATAACACCCTTGAATTCAGAGTTCCTTAATTTAATTTCCCCTCTGCAAACTGTTCTGCGGCTGGAGCTGGAAACATGAAGGCTTTCTTTTCCATCTCCATCCCTACACTAGGAGACAGACTACAGATATGTGTCTGATCTAAGATTTTAATTTGAGGATGGTGCATGAAGCACAGTTCTTCTGCAGTTGTTCACATTGTATAATGAAAAATGTCAGTTTAGGGGGTATTGCCTAATTTCATTGTCCTATTTGTGCTAAATGCAATTGTATGTTGACGTTTGTGAGCTCGTTCTTCATTAGCTGATGATGCCTGTAAACGCTGTAAACACTTTGCGTGTGTTATTGTCCCACTGAAAGAAGAATTGCAATTCAATTCAGCTCAGGAATGAATTTAAATTTTCATGAACACTGGAATTATTACAGAGTCTTGCGATTCATACATTTTTCATTAACTTCTTAATTTGATTAAGGTTACTTAATCTGTTAGTTTTTTTTTACTTAAATAATAACATACTTTTGGAAGTGGGGTCACATGACTGCTGGACTGAAGAGCAGCAGCAGGACAGGTGTGCTAACTGGGCAGCTCATACAGGTGCCTTGAATGTTCGTTTGTTCTGTGTCCTGAGCTCATTCTCTGTTTTACCCTTCAGTTCAGCTGCTTCCCTCTGTCATGTCAGCTTTGTTCCTGAGAGCGTTGAGTGAGTTCATTTCATTATATTTTCTAAAGTCATGTTTATTTTGTTGTTAAGTAGTGCATCTATTCTCCTTGGTGCATCTATTCTCCTTGGTTTGTTCTCACACATATATTTAAAGTGAGAATGTATTGATGCACTGATTTTTGATTTAGAATTGTTCATAGTTGTTATTGTGGCACTTTTATTTGTAGAAATATAACGACTCACATTTGACTGACTGCAAGCAAAAAATTAAATTCTTTGAAATGGAACCTGTTGACTGCTTCTCCTGCTTTGCTCATTTCATCAAGTCAAGTCCAGAGTAATCCTAGAACACATACATGTAGAAAATTACATTTTCATTTTTAGGTTTACATGATCATTTGAATAAGATCCCCTATAGGCTTCTATAATGACTTGAATATGTATAATTTTAGCCAGTTATTTTTTTTTGGGGGGTGGGTGGGTTATGAATGGACATTTCTTATTCCTGTGCCCCAGAACAAACTGGTGAATATTAATGAACATGCTGCACTCTCCTCTAAAGTTAGAAACAAAAGGAAGAACCTTAAAATGTGCAATGTCATCCCGGTTTGCTCTATAACAATGAACGGGGCTCTGATGCTGTGAGGCCTTTAAATGTTTGTCTAATTTCACATCCAGGACATATGGAGCACACGGAGGTGCCACCTCGGCTGCATTCAGGACCCACCAGGTGTGCAGCTGTACACAGAGACTGGTAAGCTGTCAAAGGGCAGAGTCAGCCTTCCGGTTTCCAACAGTTCATCACAGGTGCATGTGCGTGTCTCATAGCTTGTGATTAAGTATATTGTGTTTTATAATTTCATGCAAATATCAAAATTTCAAAGTGGCTAACATTAGACTTTAAGTCATATTTGTCATTCATTTTAATTATAGATTCATGATATCTCAATTTATATCAGCAGCATTTTATAATCAGCTGAGCATCAATGAATCATGACACATTCAAAACATTAATCATCAAAATACATAGGAGGTCAAAAGAAATACAGGACAAAAAGTTTCATCATTGAACTGTCAAGTATTTAGACTGTCAGTCCTTAACATCTGTATAGATTTTCATTGAATCTTCCATTGGTTCATTTATTTAAATACATTAGTCCACAACATGAAATAAAAGAACTTCACAAAATTCTGTTGGATTTATGATGATTGTCATTAGTTTGAGTGAACACTTTTCATACATACAACAATAAACAGTTTGAATTTACTACTCAGACATGTAATGGTTTCTGTAAAACCTTCTGTTTTTCGCCACATTTTTGTGATGTTTTAATAGTTTTCTGTAGATACCATATAATGCCACATTATATGAAGCTGAACTTTTTTGGTGGGACCGCAACAGTGGAGCAAGTACCTCAAAATTGTACTTAAGTACAGATTAAATGTACTTAGTTGTTTTCCACCACTGCTAATACAATAAAACAGCCTTCAGCACACATGGGTTTTAACATTGTTCAATAACACAACCATGCAAAACTACTCAATTCCTGAGGGAAAACAAAGGAGTTTCTATTATAAAACCTAATATCAAAAATAAACTCTATATTGACGTCAAAACGTATCTCTACAAAAAATAATCATCCATTGTCTCACTGCTCATGATTGAGCACCAGTGTTTGCTAAAATTACATAATATATGACATTTTATATTGGTAATGAAATGCAAATCCAACACTGGAAATGAAAGGGCGCACTATCAGCTAGCTAACATTAGTTAGCTAAACTGTAACTTAAGGCAAAAATATGAAACCAGCTAACATGAGCATACAGCCATAGATACTTGACACAATCTTATTCAGAAGGTAAAACAATAAAGTGTATTAAACAAGCTAGATAGTTAGCTACTGCTACTAATAGGAGTGAGATGAGCAGGTGACACCTAACGAGAACTAACATCAAAGTTAAGAAATGGTTAGGGTCTGAAATCGTATTTCAAGATTCTTCCGGGCATGGCATTGGGAAATATACTGTAATATTTAAAATTACTGGTAAGGAGGATATGTAGATTTTACAATCCTCCAGAACTGTTTGTTTTTACCTGTTCTGGTAGAACATGAAAAGAAAATGGCTGAAAGGCCAAAACCAACTGGCATTAGGCTGAATGCAAATACGACACAATAATATCTGTTTTTTTTTTTGTTTTTTTTTCAGCAGTTCTACAACGGGTTTCAACTACACCCGAAATTACATTGACTATACGAAGTCAAGCCATATACTAGGTTTTGACCTAGTCTTGTTTCAAATTAAATCTAATGTTTCTACTCATTGTAAAGTACAAACCTTATCATCAATGGTGTGGATTTTAATACCGTCATTATTACAGGGACTGAAGAATGGGTAGACTTTGTCAGTAAAGGAGCATCCAGTAAAGGAGTACATAAGAGCTGCAGTATCAACATCGTAAAAGTAGACCAGGCCTTCCTCGTAATCCACAAACACCCCCACCTTCTGAGGCTTTGACTTCAGAAAGAGACAGACTGATGGGTCAGCAGTTGCAAAATACTTCTGCTTCAAACATACAGTCCAGAAACCATTGTTGGGGCTCAGTGTGATTTGTCTCTTCATGTTGGACTTTCTGGCTACTCCTAAAGTCCATATACCCCAACTTCTAACCTCAACCTCAAAGTAAAATCTTCCTGAAGTGAAACCCTGCTCTGATAAGACACATCTACAGTTATCACCCTCCTTTACTTCCTGTTTAGCACTAGACTGGGTGGGTGTGGGATGGACTATATCAGGATCCAGTATCACATCCACTGCATACTGCTGGACCCTCATCAGCTCAGCCTCAAAAAACTTCTTCATCTGTTTACTGAGCGTCTCCTCAAACTGATTCACAGCTCTCGCCACAGTCCCCTCATATGATGGAGGAAAGAAGCTGACCTCTGTCAGGTCCTTGGTGGGTGGAGCAGTGTTCAGGGATGAGAAGCTTTGGATCAGGTGGAGGTGATCTTCAGAGAGTGAGAGCTGCTCCACCTCACTGCTTCTCTTCTTCAGCTCAGAGATTTCCTGCTCCAGCTCGTTGATGAAGTCTTCAGCCTGTTTCTCTCTTGTTCTCTGCTTCTCTTTGATCGTCCTGATGAATTCAGCCTGGCCTCTCTCAACAGACTCCTTCAGAGCAGTGAAGACCTGAACACCTTCTGCTGTTTCTCTGTCTGCTCGTTCTTTACTGAGCTCCACTGAGCGTTTGATCTCATGAAGCTTCAGTCGTCTCTTCTGGATCATCTGCTGAATTTCAGCCTCTGTCTCCTTCAGCTCAGCCTTCTTTCCTTCATATTCTTTTTTCAGAGGAACAACATCATGAGACTTGTGGTCTGAATAGGTGCAGAGCATGCAGACACACATCTGGTCGGTCTTACAGAACAGCTCCAGCAGTTTATCGTGATTCATACACACTCTGTCTTCCAGGTTCTCCACAGGGTCGATCAGCTCATGTCTTTTCAGGCCTGACATGGTCAGATGAGGCTCCAGGTGAGTCTCACAGAAGGAGGCCCGACAAACCAGGCAGGACTTCAGGGCGTTTAGTTTGGTTCCAGTGCAGACGTCACAGGGAACTTCTTCTGGTTTGGCAGCTTGTTGCTCTGAGCTGCTGCTGCTGGTTTCCTGTTGAACTGACTGTCTGAACTGAGCAGTCATCTCAGAGATGAAAGTGTTCACATCCAGCTCAAGTCTTGTGTTGTAAAGTCTTTTACAGGTGGGACACTGGCACTGGACATTAACATCCCAGTGTTCAGTGATGCATTTGTTACAGAAGTTGTGTCCACATGGTGTGGTGACTGGATCAGTGAACACATCCAGACAGATGGAGCACAGAAACTGATCCTCAGTCAGCAGACAGCTGGCAGCAGACATGTCGACACACTGTGAACAAAATGTGAACAAAAGAAAAATAAAGTTGTAATCTCAGATCTTTAGATAATTTGATTAATTATATCAAACTGTGATTAGTGGAAGCAGCTTTATCCTGAATTCTGTGTTCACACAACTGAGAACTAAATTTACTGAGAAAACGACACAATGCAAACACAAAGGGCACATGTCAATGAAATTACGACACAATCTGTGCTTACACAGATTGGTAGTGTACCTTTACTGCTAGAGATGCATTTTACGTCAACCAGCAATGAAAATAAGAGCAACCATTGCAACAGAGAGGAAGTAGTCTACAGCAAGGAGGAGTATGACTGAAAACAGGAAGCGTCCAAGGAAAGTTCCTGATGGTGAAACTCTACGTTCAGAGGAAGGATTACAGTCTGAAAAAGAAAGAGGTCGACAGCAATGACAAACACGGGTTACCATTGGTGTGGCTTTTCCTCAGTGGAGAGCACTGAAAGAAGAGAAGGGACTGAGGACAGACATGAATATCCCCTCCATGCTATTGGCATTTGTAAAAGATTTTGAGCAGGTTATGTACTTATATCACCTACTCTAAATAATGGAGGGGGAGACAAGCGCCTGGTTGGATGCTTAGACGCATTTGAGATCTGATCACTCAGACCACATTCGGAGGAGGTCTGGGCCACATGTGTCACATGCTTTTAGCAGTGTGGACACAAATGCATCCTGGGCCACATTAAAGGACCGCCCACTCTACTGACGTCCTCTGCCACAGTCTCATTAGTCCCGCCACAGTTTCTGTCATGGTTTGTCCTGCATACATACCTGCCTTCAGTTGTTTTCCACTCACCACTCCCTTGCTCACCCCATCTGCCAGCCACACCCACCTCGTCAGTCACTTCATTCACCTGTTCACTCAGCTGCAGCTCTTCAGCAATCAAGCCTGGTTAAAAGCTACACTCTCCTCCACACTCACTGCCAGATTGTTCTTTGTTCCCATGAAAGACTTTCCAGCGTTTACTCTTCGTCTGATCTCTCGGTTCCGACCCTGCCTGCTCCAGACCTACCCGCCTTGTCTCTGCCCTGGTAAATACTTCAGCCCTTCTGTTTTTGACCACGATTCTGCCTTGCCTCTTCCTGGTCTTCGTCTGCCTGTTCTCGGGGCTGCTCTGAGTCCTCCACCTCCACTGCTGCAGCGTGTGATTTCTCCTCGTTTCCCCATTGATCATCGCTGGGACAGTGTCCTCATTTCGACCATCGTGAGTGTTCCTGGTGTGACTTACCTACTGGTTCTTCGGTCCTCTGCCTGGTTCCGACCTACCCTCTGCCTGGTACGACTGCCTCATCCACAGCTTTATTCTGGGCCCTCGGATTTTCCCCAAGCCCCTCAAAGACTGCCATTCCCCTTTTGAATTGAACTGTGTTTATTTACCTGCATCTAATAATAAAAGTCATTACCAATCATCGGTCCTAGTCGGTGCTGCTTTTGGGTCCAAACCTCACCCATTACAGTACAATCTGGCCAGTCATGGACCCAGCGCGCCCCCCGTCTCCACAGAACCGCTTTGAGAGAATAGAGGACGTTCTCCAGCGGCATGAAAGTATGATGGCGGCCGCCCTCACCCAGATCCAGCAGCTGTCATCCACCCTTGCTCAGGCAGTTGCTACGTCGAGGTCTCCTGAACCCCCAACACCACCACCACCACCGCCGCCTCCTTCTGGAGCCATCACCGAACCTCGGGTCGGCGCACCCGAGCGTTACGCTGGGGATCCTGACGGCTGCAACCCGTTCATCACGAACTGCTCTATTTTGTTTGCACTCCAGCCCCTCACATTTTCAACTGAGGCAGCCCGGGTGGCCTTCACCATCGACCACCTCACGGGCCGCGCCCGTCTCTGGGGAACTGCGGAGTGGGAGAAGCAGACTCCAGCTTGCGCCTCCTTCCAGGCATTCTCAGAGGAGCTCCGCAAGGTTTTTGGAATGGGAGTTTCTGGGTCGGACGCAGCTCGTGACCTGCTGAGTCTTCGACAGGGGAATCAGACGGTGGCTGACTTCTCGATTGACTTCCGCACTCGAGCCCGCCGGAGCAGCTGGAATGAGTCGGCCCTCCGTGACTTCTTCCTCCACAGTCTGGCCGACTACATCAAGGATGAATTGGTGTCTCACAACCTCCCATCTACTCTGGACGGGATGATCGAGCGGGCCATCCGAGTGGACCTCCATATCCAGGCCCGACGCCGTGAGAGGAGATGGGGAACAGCCAGTTGGAACCCTCCCTCACGACTTCGGGAGACCGCCTCAGATCCTGGTGCTGCCTCCTTTTCCGGGCCCCCGGCAGAGGTGTCTGAGCCAATGCAACTGGGGCGCACCAGTCTCTCCCCAAAGGAGAAGGAGCGACGTCGTCAGGCCAATCTGTGTTTATACTGTGGTCAGGCCGGCCATTTCGTCTCTCGCTGTCCAGCAAAAGCCAGGGCTCATCAGTAGGCGGGGATATACTGTTGAGCCAAGCTTCATCCAAAGCTTTCCCCAATCAAAGACCTGTGTTTCACGCCAGGCTCCTCCTCCCTGACGGTTCCCATGCCTTAGCTACATTCATCAACTCCAGGGCCGACGCCAACATCATTGATGAGGATCTAGCACTGCAGTTGGGGATAGACCGCATTCCCCTGCCTCAGCCGATCCCTGCCAGGGCCCTCGATGGACACCTCCTGGGAACTGTCTCTCATCAGACCATCCCTGTACCCATGTTACTCTCAGGTAACCACCATGAGACTGTCCAATTTCATGTCCTGCCATCCCCTTGCATCCCTCTGATTCTGGGGTATCCCTGGCTCCTCCGTCATAACCCCCACATTGACTGGGCTGCGGAGACCATCCTGGGGTGGAGCCCTTCCTGCCACCAGATCTGTCTGAGACACGCCAGCGTTCCCCAGCACTCAGCCTGTTCCAGCGTCATGCCTACCTTGTCCGGGGTTCCCCCCGAATACCATGACTTTCGAGAGGTGTTCAGCAAGGCCAAGGCCACATCCCTGCCTCCTCATCGCCCATATGACTGCGCCATTGACCTGCAGCCCGGCACCACTCCACCCAAGGGCCGTCTCTACTCTTTGTCCGGCCCAGAAAGAGAGGCTATGGAAGCCTACATCAATGACTCTCTGGCAGCAGGAATCATCCGACCCTCTTCTTCTCCTGCGGGGGCAGGGTTCTTCTTTGTCGAAAAGAAAGACAAGACACTGAGGCCATGCATCGATTATCGGGGCCTCAACGACATCACCATCAAGAATCGCTATCCACTCCCTCTCATCTCCTCAGCGTTTGAGCTTCTCCAGGGGGCCACCATATTCACAAAGTTAGATCTTCGCAACGCCTACCATCTGGTCCGCATCCGGGAGGGTGATGAGTGGAAGACTGCCTTCAACACCCCCTCCGGTCACTACGAATACCTGGTGATGCCCTTCGGTCTCACCAACGCCCCCGCTGTCTTCCAGGCCCTGGTTAATGACGTGCTCCGAGACATGCTCAACCGCTTTGTGTTCGTGTACTTGGATGACATCCTGATCTTCTCCAAGACCCGGGAGGAGCACGTCAGTCATGTTCAGGCAGTTCTCAAGCGCCTCCTCGAGAACTCTCTCTTCGTCAAAGCCGAGAAGTGTGAGTTTCATGCCTCTTCTGTCTCCTTCTTGGGCTACATTGTGGCTCCAGGTAGTCTGCAGATGGACCCGTCCAAGGTCTCAGCAGTCACGTCCTGGCCCATCCCTGACTCCCGCAAGCACCTGCAACGTTTCCTGGGGTTCGCCAACTTTTACCGCCGATTCATCCGCAACTACAGCACTGTCGCCGCCCCCCTCACAGCTCTCACATCCACCAAGGTGCCTTTCCACTGGACCTCTGCGGCTGATGAGGCCTTCCAGACTCTCAAGGCGTGTTTTACATCAGCGCCCATCCTTCAGGTTCCCGACCCAGACCGCCAGTTCGTTGTGGAGGTTGATGCCTCCGATGTTGGCGTGGGAGCCGTCCTGTCTCAGCGGGCTGCGTCAGATCAAAAGCTCCATCCCTGTGCCTTCTTCTCTCGTCGACTGTCCCCTGCTGAGAGGAACTATGACATCGGCAACCGGGAGCTGTTAGCCGTCAAGCTGGCCCTAGAGGTGTGGCGCCATTGGCTGGAGGGGACCAGACTGCCATTCCTGGTTTGGACTGATCATAAGAACCTAGAATACATCCGGGCTGCCAAGAGACTGAACTCCCGCCAAGCCCGCTGGTCCCTCTTCTTCACACGGTTCAACTTCTCCCTCTCCTATCGACCTGGATCCCACAACGTCAAGCCAGTTGCCTTGTCGCGACAGTTCAAGGGGGAGGGGGGAGTCAAGGGAAGAGGCCGACTCCATCCTCCCTTATCCCTGTGTTATTGCTTCCCTGACCTGGGAGGTGGAGGAGAGGGTGAAAGCTGCTATGGAGAATCAACCAGGTCCTAGCGCCTGTCCCCCAAACCGTCTCTTTGTTCCTTCGGCTCTGAGGTCTGACGTACTCCAGTGGGCTCACTCCTCCAGACTTACCTGTCATCTTGGAATCCGGAGGACTTGTAATGTATTAAAGCAGTGCTTCTGGTGGGCCACGCTGGAGGAGGACACTCGCAAGTACATCAATGCCTGTCCTGTCTGCAGCCAACACAAGCCTTCTCATCAGTCCCCTGCTGGGTTTCTGCATCCCCGTCCGGTGCCTCGGCGTCCATGGTCCCACATCTCCCTGGACTTCGTCACTGGTCTTCCCTCTTCTGGTGGGAACACAGTCATTCTCACAGTGGTTGACCGGTTCAGCAAGATGGCACATTTCATTGCTCTCTCCAAAGTCCCCTCTGCCAAAGAGACTGCTCAGCTGGTCCTGCTCCACATCTTCCACCTCCATGGCCTTCCCACTGATGTGGTCTCAGACCGGGGCCCGCAGTTCACCTCCATCTTCTGGCAGGAGTTCTGCGCTCAGCTTGGGACCTCCGTTAGTTTGTCCTCCGGTTTCCACCCCCAATCCAATGGCCAAGCAGAGCGCATGAACCAAGAGATGGAGACAACACTACGTTGTATGGTGTCACGGAACCCCTCCTCTTGGTCCCAGCAGCTCCTGTGGGTCGAATACGCCCACAACTCCCTCACCAGCTCGGCCACTGGCCTCTCCCCCTTTCAATGCTGTTACGGATCACCCTCCACTCTTCCCGGCCCTTGAGGGAGAGGCCACCTGCCCCTCTGTCCAGGCCTTCATCTGTCGTTGTCGCCGCACCTGGACCCAAGCTTGAGCAGCCCTTCTCCGAGCCTCTGATCGCTACTCCTCGTCTGCCAACCGGCGTCGCACTCAAGCCCCGACTTACCAAGTTGGCCAAAAGGTTTGGCTCTCCACCCGGGACCTCCCTCTCCGGGTGGAATCCAGGAAGTTGGCTCCCAGATTCATCGGTCCTTTTCCCATACTGAAGGTCATCAACCCGGCGGCAGTGAGGCTTCAGCTCCCCCGGTCCATGCGCATCCACCCCACCTTCCATGTCTCTCGCGTCAAGCCTGTTTTGGAGAGCCCACTGGTGCCCCCCACTCCTCCTCC